GTTTGCTGTAATACTAAGGAACAGTGATTGTACTTTACAGCAGAGCTAATTTACAGTAATAGTATTTTACAGTAGTAATACTGATGGATGAAAGTGAAAATACCAGTTTACAGTGATAGTAATGTACAGTAGTACATTAGGTGGTAACACTACAGCAGTACGTATTTACAATAATAGTAATTTAAAGCAGTAATATTGATGTATTACAGTGATAACACTGATGTACAACAGTATTAATTTACAGTATTAGTATTTACAGTAGTAATACTGATGTATTACAGTGGTAATGCTAATTTACAGTAAGAGTATTTTACAGTCACCGTGACCCAGAAGGATAAGCGATTTAGATGATGTATGTATGTATATATTTTACAGTAGTAATACTGATGTATTACAGTAATAATACTAATTTACAGTAATAGTATTTTACAGTAGTAATACTGATGTATTACAGTAATAATACTAATTTACAGAAATGGTATTTTACAGTATTAGTACTGATGTATTACAGTAATAATACTAATTTACAGTAATAGTATTTTACAGTAGTAATACTGATGTGTTACAGTAGTAATACTGATGTGTTACAGTGGTAATACTAATTTACAGTAATAGTATGTTACAGTAGTAATACTGATGTATTACAGTGGTAATACTAATTTACAGTAATAATATTTTACAGTAGTAATACTGATGTATTACAGTGGTAATACTAATTTACAGTAATAGTATTTTACAGTATTAGTACTGATGTATTACAATAATAATACTAATTTAAAGTAATAGTATTTTACAGTAGTAATACTGATGTGTTACAGTAATAATACTGATGTTTTACAGTAGTAATACTGATGTATTACAGTGGTAATACTAATTTGCAATAAGAGTATTTTACAGTAGTAATACGGATGTATTACAGTGTTAATACTAATTTACAGTAATAGTATTTTACAGTATTAGTACTGATGTATTACAGTCATAGTACTAATTTACAGTAATAGTATGTTACAGTAGTAATACTGATGTGTTACAGTAGTAATACTAATTTACAGTAATAATATTTTACAGTAGTAATACTATTGTATTGCAGTGTTAATACTAATTTACAGTAATCGTGTTTTACAGCAGTGCTGGTTTGCAGTAATACGGATGTACTGGACCACAGAGTTGCAGTTGTAGTGTCACACAGTCGTAATGATGATGGCTGCAGTAAAATCAGTCTGAAAATATAAACCATAAAGCTCGAGAGAACACACACACACACACACACACACACACACTCACACACACACACACACTCACACACACACGCACACACGCACACACACACACTCACACACTCACACACACACACACACACACACACACACACACACACTCACACACACACACACACACACACACTCACACACACACCCAAACACACACAGAGCTGCACACTGTGGTCATTGTGCTGTAATGAAAACAGTCAAAACTGTCACAAAAAATTTAAAAACTTTTGCAACCAGAAACCCTGAATCATCATCTCCTTCCCAGCTTTTTCATCATCATCATCGTCATCATCATGGTCATTCTCTGCTGTTTGGTTTCTGTGGGATGGGCTCAGGTTTATGACTTTATAGCCCTTCTGACTAAAGTCCTCTGGCCAGTTTACATACGCTGCCTCCTCAGATCCTCTGCTGGAGTTGAACCTGAGCTCAGATCTGTCTCTGAGTGCGTCTGGGTTGGTTGTGGTCTGGATTTTGAGCGCGAGGCTGCTGAGTGGACAGTGCGGCCTGCTGTAGTAAGCGTTTAGGTGTTCGGGTGTTCAGGTGATCAGGTGTGCGTTAGTGTGCGGGTGAAGATGTCAATGGCAGTGGAGATGTTGGCTTTTCTGATGTGTGTCGGCGGCAGTGTGTTGGCCGGCGTCGCGCTGGCCAACGATTACTGGCGTGTGTCGTCATACTCGGGCAGTGTGATCACGTCCAGCCGTCAGTACCAGAACCTGTGGCACGCCTGCGCCGAGGCCAGCACCGGCATCAAGAACTGCAAAGAGTTCGAGTCCATGCTGGCTCTGGATGGTAAAACTCACACACACACACTTCTTTGTTAGATTTCTTTCTTTCTTTATTGTATTCATTACAGGTTTGCGTGGTTTAAGCCATAATTCATTTCTACATGATCATATTCCAGCTTTTCTGTATACCTAACAAAATTATACAGTGTTCATGCTACTGTGCCTTTAAGACTGACTGATATATGTAAATGGGCTCTGTTCTGATTGGCTGTGCCTCATTTAAAAAAGCAGTCTGGACTGAAAGACTTCTTATGACAGTATTTACAGTCTAAATCCACGTCTAGTTTTATCAGAAACTTCAGCTTTGATCTGGGCCGTTTGATGGGCGTTTTGACAGAAACACAAATAAAACTGAATCTCAGTTTTGCTTCCTGGTAAAAACAGTTCTAAATATTGAGTCACACCTGAATTTCTTCAAGGCTGAAGTTGCTGCTTGTCTGGCAGCTTTTTGTTCAAATTTTCCGTTCCGCCTTAAATGTGCAGCAGGTTCAGTCTGACACCTCTTACAGGCCTGAATGTATCAGCTGCGCATCATTTAAGGTGGAACCGGAAATTCAAATTGGAAGCTTAATTCAGCTGATTTCTCAAGTCGTGTCTGATGCGTGTGTTCTGTAAACTCGCCCCTGTAGAACTTTTAGACCCCATCTTTCTTTAGAACCAGGACCAGGAGGCCAGCCTTGCGTCTGTAGCTCTGATCTTTAGTTCTTCATTGTGCACACGGTTCACAGACGGCGAGCTGACCTGCTCGACATAGAAAATGGCCAAGCTATATAGGCTGGCTCAGGCACGTTGTTTCCTGGACCATTGCCACGGCTTTTTCCGAGGCTGCTGTGTCGTCCGGTGCAGCTGAGCGTGTCAGGCGGCTCCTGAGCCAGGCCTCATCAGAATGGTGTCCACGCTAGGCTAATGCTAACCCCAAAAGACCAGCCGTTCCTCAGTGTCCACTGCCTCGTTACCGATATCGGGTATTGGGCCCACACCGTGCTCATTTACTCGTATTCATAAAAAATTCACTCATATCAACATCCAATACCTGCTGATACACGTGTCATAAGTCAAATATACACTGCTGCGCTAATCAACAAATGACGCAAGCTGGCAGAGAAGGAGGCTCTGCTCACACAGAGAAGAGTTACTGCCAGTCCGACACAGGCTAACAAAATGGAGACAGAAAAGGAGACAGCTTTCGCTTGGTGGTTAGCTTTCACTTGTTAACTTAGCTTTCGCTTGGCTGTTATGATGAATGGATGGTAGGATAGACAGCAGACTTGCTAGGTTTGCTAGTATATCTTGCGCTTGGTGGTTATCTTTTATGTAGGAGTTAGCTTTCGCTTGGTGGTTATCTTTCACTTGTTAAGTTAGCTTTCGCTGGGTGGTTATCTTGTGCTTGGTGGTTACCTCACTTGTTAGCTTTCACTTGTTAAGTTAGCTTTCACTAGGTGGTTATCTTTTGCTTGGTGGTTAGCTTTCACTATGTGTCTCATATTCGGACACAGAGAGATCGAACACTATTTAAATAAAGCTGTGTGGGTGGGGCAAACTGCCTTGTGATTGGTGAAGGTACCCCTTACATAAGTGCTACCCGAGATTAGGACTGCCCATTTTACATCAAAAGAGGAGGATTTTGGAGAAAATTAACCTGCTTCACGTTCTAATAGGTTCTAGACTTGTGTGGACATTAGAGTGCTTAATCACACAGAATGGTTTTGTGTAGAAAGACTCAGTCTTTTGCTTATGTTCTTTTACATATATATATATATGTGTGTGTGTGTGTGTGTGTGTGTGTGTTGCAGGTTATGTGCAGGCGTGTCGAGCTCTGATGATCATCGCTCTGCTGCTCGGACTCTTCTCCATCCTGCTGTCTGCTCTGGGCCTCAAATGCACCAAACTAGGCAGCATGTCTGACCTGGCCAAAGGCCGACTTACACTGACCGCCGGAGTCCTGTTCATACTGTCCGGTCTGTATCACTCGCACGAACACATTACTGCACCTTTGAGGTCTTAAAGTGACTCAAATGACCAACTGTAAACCTGACTTTACAGGGAAATTCCACCCATATTTCAAAATTCCCCCATAATTCAGTGTGTGAGATGTAAACAGAGAGATTCAGAGCGGTTTGGTGTGAAATGGTTCAGATGTCTTTACAGTGGTGGTGATGGGAACCAGGGGTTGCCATGACTACAACACAGATATAGACATTTTATTTACTATCAAAACCACCAGTGAACCTACACGAGTCTTCAGAGTTTATGTGGAATGTTGATGATGAAAATAGTGGAAAATCTGAAATAATAAGTTTTCTTTGGGGACTATTTTGCTCTCACAGCGCCCTGCATGTATCCCTCCACCATGACTGGAGTTTAAGTTCTCTAAACTATCCTAAAACAGTGTCTCAGTCATCAGGCAGGGAATTCATAACCATTTCATGTAGTAACTTTCTGTGAGGGAGCTTTTAGAGGTGGACGTCTGGTTCCTATCACCACCACTGTGGACAGTTCTGAATCGGTAAGTTTATCTAGAACAGAGCGTTTCACACCAAACCACTCTGAATGAGTCAGTTTACATCTTAACCAATTAATTATGCATGTTAGCTTGTCATAGTTGGATTTTGGGTTCCAAATTTTCCAAATTTCACAGGCATAACAAAATGTTTGCATGTACATCAGTGGTTTAACAAATAGAGCAATAAAACAGTAAAAACAAATGCACAGAAAACAAAACCTTACGCACGTTTAAATTTGACTCCCTCTGCTCTCTCAGTGCTGACCGCTCTCTCTCTCTCTCTCTCTCTCTCTCTCTCTCTCTCTCTCAGGTGTGTGTGTACTGACCGCTGTTTCCTGGTATGCCGCCCGCATTGTGCAAGAGTTTAATGATCCTTTTTACGTTGGAACAAAGTGAGTAACAGGAGAAAGTCACACACAAACACATGTAGGACAAACACCAGCTTGTACATTTACACAGAAGTCAGAGACCCCACCTACATTTACTTAATGTCCAGTCAAAACAGCCATTAAGTACAAGATACACATTTTTCAGGAGATGTTGTGAGAAGATCAGATATAAGATAATCCACTTAAAAGCTACAGAGAAAATGTGGCTCCTAACAACCACCTGGAAAAGCTGGTAGCTCCCAAAACTGCCCCCGTCAGATAAACAGCACTTAAAGCTTTCATCTCTGAGAGAGAGGAGAAAATCAAGCTGCTTCAGATCTGAAAACATCCACAGGTGTTTCTGTCCATCCTTCCACTGTGAGAAGACGACTCAGCGCTGTGGGTCTGAAAGGATGTGTAGCTGATCAAGAAGAACCTCACTGAGAAAAGGAGACGGACACATCAAACAAAGAAGCTGAACGATGGACTGACCACCCCAGAGTCCAGACCTCAACACCACTGAATGTGTTTGATTACTTCAGAAAATGATCAACCAGCTTCTAAGACTGAACTTTGGAGGTGTGTCTGCAGATTGTTTGAGGAACCGAAAGTGGGTCTCCTGAAAAGAATGGAAGCTGGAATTTTTTTTTCTGACACTCAAGAATGAATAACTTGAACTTAAAGGCTGTTTTGACTGAACATTAAGTGAGTGAAGGGTCTCTGATTGTTGCCCAGAGCTGTATGAGTGTGTTTGTTGTTTGTTTGTTTATCCGTTGTCTCCACTGCACTGTGATGCATCATCACTTGTTTAGTAGATTTGGGCTGCTGTATTAAGCTGTAGATTGTGTATGTAAATGAAGGGTATGTACCTGTGTGCAGGTTTGAGCTGGGTACTGGGCTGTACCTGGGCTGGGCTGCGGCAGTGCTGGTGATTTTGGGTGGAGCGATGCTGTGTGGATCCTTCAGAAGAGCCTCATCACAAACAAACTCGGGGTGAGGAACATATTTCTGATACGTTCAGCCAGACATCAGTTCAGCCTCCTCCTCCTCCAATAGGGTCAATGGTTCCTCAGACTCAGTAGAGTTGATGGTACCTCAGCCACAGTAGGGTCAATGGTTCCTGAGACTCAGTAGAGTTGATGGTACCTCAGCCACAGTAGGGTCAATGGTTCCTCATACTCAGTGGGGTCAATAGTTTCTCAGACTCAGTAGAGTTGATGGTACCTCAGCCAAAGTAGGATCAGTGGTTTCTCAGACTCAGTAGGGTAAATGGTTCCTGAGACTCAGTAGAGTTGATGGTACCTCAGCCACAGTAGGGTCAATGGTTCCTCATACTCAGTGGGGTCAATAGTTTCTCAGACTCAGTAGAGTTGATGGTACCTCAGCCAAAGTAGGATCAGTGGTTTCTCAGACTCAGTAGGGTAAATGGTTCCTTAGCTACAGTAAGGTCAATGGGTTCTCGGACATAGTAGGGTAAATGGTTCCTCAGCCACCTTAGGGTCAATGTTTTCTCAGACACAGTAGGGTGAATGGTTCCTTAGCTACAGTAAGGTCAGTGGGTTCTCGGACATAGTAGGGTAAATGGTTCCTCAGCCACCTTAGGGTCAATGTTTTCTCAGACACAGTAGGGTGAATGGTACCTCAGCCAAAGTAGAGTCAAGGGTTCCTCATACTCAAATAGGTAAGTGTTACCACAGCCACAGTAGGATCAATGGTCAGGTTAAGTAGGGTCAGTGGTTCTTCAGACTCAGGAGGGTCAGTGGTTCCTCAGCCAGGGTAGGGTCAACGGTTCCTCAGCCTCAGTAGGGTCTATGGTACCTCATCCACTGTAGGCTCAATGGTTCCTCAGCCACAGTAGGGCCAATGGTACCTCATCCACTGTAGGCTCAATGGTTCCTCAGCCACAGTAGGGCCAATGGTTCCTCAGCCTCAGTAGGGTCAATGGTACCTCATCCACTGTAGGGTCAGTTGTTCCACAGCCACAGTAGGGTCAATGGTTGCTCAGCCTCAGTGAGGCCAATGGTTCCTGAGCAACAGGAGAGTTAAATTAGTTAAATGGACCCTTAACCATACTATGGTCAATGGTGCCTCACCCTCGGTAGGGTCAATGGTTCCTCAGACTCCGTAGGGTCAATAGTTCCTCAGCCACAGTAGAGTTAATCGTTCTTCAGACTCAGTAAAGTCAATGAACAGCGTTTTATGTTATTCTAATTAAAAGTGTTTCCTTGAACCATAAAACCTTTTTTTTTCTAAGAGTCTATAAGTTACATTAGTCATCTCTATTTCCATGAAACAGAATGAACGGATTAATAAATTCATATCAAGCGTGGATCAATGAATAGATGAGGAATTAAAACAGTGATCAGATGAGAAAGTTCTCCAGGCTCACTGCTCGGTCAGTGCAGAGCAGTCAAAGGTCAGATTTGTGAGTGAATGTGGTTCGAATGCAAACTTTACAAGATCTGTTATCTCTCTCTCTCTCTCTCTCTCCCTCTCTCTCTCTCAGGGCGTACAGCTATAACTACTCTGGTCAAGGTCAGAAGATCTATAAAGCTGCCCCCACAGCCGACAGCGGCAGCTCCAAAGCTTACGTCTGAAAAAGCTGGAAGAAAAATAAATCAGCGTCTGAACTTCGGTCTCAGTTTATAGAAACAGAAATGCTGGTGACACTAAAGCCCTCAAAGTGCTGTTGTTTGTACAGACGTGTTTCTGAATCGTGTGAATGTGTGAGGACGTGTGGGGACGTGTGTGAACGTGTGAGGACTTGTGGGGACATGTGAGGACGTGTGAGGACGTGTGGGGACGTGTGCGCTTGTTTGCTCCTGTATCAATGAGCTAAATTATCACGCTGGTCTGAATCTGTGTTGGTTGTTACATTCTGAGATTCTCACTCTGCTGTTGTAACCGAATCGTACCGTGTTTTATTTTGTTGTTTTGGTGTAAAATGTGTGTTAATGTGAATAAACATTCGCCTCGACATGACTGACCGTTTCTTTGTGAACCGTCTCCCTCTGCTGGGCGTCGGCTGTAACTGCTCTACAACACGTTTCACTAGTATGAATTAAATTTTTACAAATTTCAGTAAATTTAAGTAAAAATTAAAGTTTGATATGAAATTCCAGTTACTTGAACGTAGGATTGTTGTGTACGCTGTCATTCAAAAGTTTATAATTACTTCAGTTTTTGTTATGTACTTATGAGTATTTGGGATGAAGAAGAATTTATTAAATGATCACTAATAAACTGTTTATAGTCATTTTTGTCCTTTTTTGCATGAGATTTTGAGATTTGATCATAACTTTGGAAATTTTTAGGGAATTATTAGAAATGAATTTTTATTATAACTTCATACTTAATGCTATACATTGTTATGAGTCGTCAAAACATCTTATTTGTTCATTTATTGCTGCTTCACAACTTCCCACTAATCATTCAAAACGTATGATTGTAAAATGGCTTTATTCTTTATTAAAAACAGTGATTCCAAGTGTACCTCAAATTTAGTTTTTCAAGAATTTTTACATGCAAGAATTGAATTTGCATGATTAAATTTTCACTACAAGATTTAGCGAATGTTTAAAATTTAATTTTAGTGAAATTTTAATTATACAATTTTTTGAATGTTAGTGAAAGTTCTTCTCTATATTAAAGTGAATTGGGAAAAACACATAATTTATTATAAAACCTGCATGCCAAAATACGACCTCTGTTTATTTGGGGTAGTTTAGTAGACACTGTTGCATGTTCAAATTTAAAATTTTGATAAAAAAAAAAAAAGGTTAAATTTTGATTGAATTTTTAGAGCGATAACTAAATGACAGATCTTTTTTATTTTATTTTATAGTTTATATTTTTTAAATCACAGATTTTTTATTGAAAGCAAAGCAGTACATAATCACTGCAGCCGAACTTCTCTGGGGACGTTGTTGGTATGGAAGCTGATACTGATGGTCATTGGGTGATTTGTATATTGACAGTCCCAGTTGACAAAGCAATTTTTTTTTTTTTAATTAAATTTTTATTTTTTATTTATTTTATTTATAACCGACTGTACCTGGTTTATGTCAAACTTGTGTCCACTGTACGCTAAAAAAGAGAAACAAACAAAAGAAAAACGAAAAAATGGGCGCATTATTATTATTAAAAACAATAATCATCGCGTCCGTGACGTCACTTTCCCGCGCCCTCGCGCAGCGGAAGAGACTCCGCGCGACGGCGGACATGGCGGACCCGGATGTGGAGAGCGGAGTGGGCTAAGATCAGATTGATCAGAAGTTGATCGGAGCTTATCAGAGAGTATCGATCCGATCCGCGCCCTCGTTACCGATCAGGAGGACCGATCCGCTCGGCGCTGCGGGGCGCGCGCGCTGCAGGAGAGAGAGAGAGGGCTGAACGCCGCGCGCGCCGGGGGGAGGTAACCTGTTTACACCGGCTAACGGCCTAGCCTGCCTCGCGCAGAGGGAGCGTCGCTGACCGGGCTGGAGGCGGCTCGTCGTTCCAGCAGCTGCTGAGGACTCTCCCGTTCCACCTTAAAAGGAGCAGAAGGGCGCCAGACTGTAACTGCTGCTCCGTTTAAGGTGTAACGGGTAGATGCGAACAGGGCGCTGGAGAACGACGAGCTGCCTCCAGCCTCGCGAGTCCCTGATCAGCAGAAGAGTCACAGTGGAAGGAACTTCGGTAGAACGGTCGGCTCGTGCGCGAACGAACAGAACGCTGGCGTTTAAACTGCAGCCACAGTTCTGTGCGCGCGCGCTCTGATCAGGTCCGATCAGTTCTAATCGCTCTGATTTTGCCGAGTCACAGCGCTGATCAATAACAACAGATCTGCGGAGGGGCGGCGCTGCGGAGACGTTCCTAATTAATAATCAATAACGCATGACTGGGATTTAGTAGAGCCAGAAAACTATTTAATTATCTCGATCCTAAGTCTTGCAAAGTTGTGGCCACGGCTTAATTATCTCATTCACGTGCCTTACTACATAGTTGCCGAGACTTACGTCAAGTCTATGCTTTACTGATTCATGTTGTAACTTAATTATCTCATTCTCATGGCTCAATAAATCATGGCACGACTTAATTATCTCATTCTCACGGCTCAATAAATCATGGCACGACTTAATTATCTCATTCTCACGGCTCAATAAATCATGGCACGACTTATTTTGTTCCCATGCCTTATTAAATCATGGCACAACTTAATTATCTCATTCTTGCGCCTTACTAAATCATGGCACAACTTAATTATCTTGTTCTCACGCCGTACTAAATCATGGCACAAATTAATTATCTCATTCTCACGCCTTACTAAATTATGGCACAACTTAATTATCTTGTTCTCACGCCTTACTAAATCATGGCACAACTTAATTATCTCATTCTCAAGCTTTACTAAATCATGGCACAACTTAATTATCTCGTTCTCACACCTTACTAAATCATGGCACAGCTTAATTATCTCGTTCTCAAGCTTTACTAAATCATGGCACAACTTAATTATCTCGTTCTCATGCCTTACTAAACCATGGCACAAATTAATTATCTCATTCTCAAGCTTTACTAAATCATGGCACAACTTAATTATCTCGTTCTCACACCTTACTAAATCATGGCACAACTTAATTATCTCGTTCTCAAGCTTTACTAAATCATGGCACAACTTAATTATCTCATTCTCAAGCTTTACTAAATCATGGCACAAATTAATTATCACCCGTTTGTCAAAATTCCCCTATAACTCAGTGTGTGAGATGTAAACAGAGTGATTCAGAGTGTTTTGGTGTGAAATGGTCCAGATGTCTTTACAGTGGTGGTGATAGAAACCAGGGGTCGCCATGACTACAACACAAATATAGACATTTTATTTACTATCCAGAACCACCAGTGAACCCACACGAGTCTTCCGAGTTTATATGGAATGTTGATGATGGAAAATAGTGGAAAATCTGAAATAATAAGTTTTCTTTGGGGACTATTTTGCCTCAAAGCAAACCACTCTGAACCGCTCTGTTTAAATCTTAGCCACTTAATTATGCAGAAATGTTGAAAAGTCAGTGGAGTTCCCCTGTAAGGGTGCGGTTTTGGGGGAAAGCCTGTGGGCGGAGCCTTGTAAGTGTTGGTGTATCCTTGTTGTGGCCCTGAGAGATCACCACTGTATTCACACCGTCTGTTCAGCACACAGAACAGTGTATAAGGGAGCGGAGGAGGACGTGGTGCACACAGTGAAACGGATCACAGAGCAAAATTCACTACACAGTTAAGACTAAGTGACCTTTATCAGTCCCACAACGGGGAAATTTCACCTCCACATTTAACCCATCCGTGCAGTGAAACACCACATACACACTAGTGAACACACACACTAGGGGGCAGTGAGCACACTTGCCCAGAGCGGTGGGCAGCCCTATCCACAGCACCCGCGGAGCAGTCGGGGGTTAGGTGTCTTGCTCAAGGGCACTTCAGTCACGTATTGTCGGCTCAGGGGATCGAACCGGCGACCTTCCGGTCACAGGGCTGGTTCTCTGACCTCCAGCCCATCACGCTGAAGCTGAAGCAGCGCAGCAGCAGCACAGCTAGCGGAGCAGCACAGCTAGCGGAGCAGCACAGCTAGCGGAGCGCTAAAACGATCATCCGTGTTCAACACTCAGCTTTCAGTTTCAGTTTAACTAACAATCACTGCGCTCAGAGTCCGATCAGCCACAGAGCCGGAACAGCAGGCCGACTAATACAGTAAAACGAACACTGCAGGACGGGACCAGCTAACAAACACACACTATTAGAGCAACACACACCCCGACCAATCAGATCAGAGAATGAACTCAGATAACTGAGGCAGACTCCACCCACAAAACACTACAGTTAGTCTGATAAACACACTTATTTACTGAGTCCACTGCTTATTAACATGTGGGAATGAGATAACCAACTCCTGTCGTGATTTAGTAGGGTGTGAGAACGAGATAATTAAGTTGTGGGATGGCACGGGAATGAGATAATTAAGTCATGCCATTATTTAGTAAGACGTGAGAATGAGATGATCAAGTCATGATGTGATTTAGTAAGGTGAGAGAACGAGATAATTAAGTGTGTGTCGTGATTTAGTAAGGCATGGGAATGAGATAATTAAGTTGTGCCGTGATTTAGTAAGGCGTGAGAAATATTCTGATTTGTATCGTGAAAATATCTTGAATTATCGTGATAATGTTTTTGTTACTTCAGTTGCTTGAAACCTACATGCAACTACATGCAACTAAACTTGCATAATGTAAGGCAGCCTGCAACTTGAAGGTAGGTGATATGACAAAAATTGCTGTTAACGTGTGTGTGTGTGCGTGTGTGTGTGTGTGTGTGTGTGTGTGTGTGTGTGTGTAGGAGATGGCGGGCCGCCGGGTGGAGTGTACGTGGAAGCGACACGTGGCGGAGCAGCTGAAGCAGCGAGACCGAGTGCAGCGTCAGGCCTTCGAGGAGCTCATACACCAGTGTGCGTAAAGACTGTCAACCGTTATCATTAATCAGGCCTGTTTTAACTCCCCCAGAGGTTTCAGCTCTCAGCGCGTCTTTAGCAGTGGAGCTACGAGGCTAATGTAGCTAACGAGGAGTAGAAGCTTATTAATATGCTAATTATATGCATGCCTAAGTCACCTCAGACCGTGTGTTGGTGTTCAGTATCTCTAATAGACTTGATTTATGCAGTTTCTAAAACTGTATGACTCGCTGTTAGCCAGGGCTCGATTTGAGGGGCTGCATAAGGGGACGCCACTAATTAAAAGATCTGATGTTTTTTCCATGTGTGTCAGATTTACGGCAGATTTAAATTAAATTATTATTAGTATTATTGTTATAATACAAAAAGTTTTTTTTTCATATTATTATTATTAATATTAATATTATTGTTGTCGTTGAAATAACATCAGCCATGTTTACATAACATTATTATCGCTGTTGTTTTTATTAATGTTGTTGTTGGTGTTGCCTTGACAGTCCGATCCCAGTAAAAGATCTTGAAAAAAGTGTTTTTGTTGCATTAACGAAAAACAGAATTTCATAGATACGGTTCTTAACCGCCCAATCATTTCATCCATCACTAAAAAATTTTTCAAAATTCAACCTGTTATTATTAGAGAATTGCAAAACTTACAGACAAAATTCAGCATGAAGAAAGACCACTGCGTTGGCTGCCTGCGTTGGCTCCCTGCGTTAGATCCCTGTGTTAGCTCACTGTTTCGGCTCCCAGCGTTGGCTCCCTGTGTTGGATCCCTGCATTGGCTTCTGCATTGGCTCCCAGCGTTGGCTCCTGCGTTGGCTCCTGTGTTGGCTCCCAGCGTTGGCTCCCAGCGTTGGCTCCCTGCATTGGCTACCAGCATTGGCTCCCTGCGTTAGTTCACTGTTTCGGCTCCCTGCGTTGGCTCCCAGTGTTAACTCCCAGCGTTGGCTCCCTGCGTTGGCTCCTGCGTTGGCTCCCTGTGTTGGCTCCCAGCGTTGGCTCCCTGCATTGGCTCCCAGCATTGGATCCCTGCATTGGATCCCTGCATTGGCTCCTGCGTTGGCTTCCTGTGTTGGCTCCCAGTGTTGGCTCCTAGCATTGGCTCCCAGTGTTGGCTCCCAGTGTTGGCTCCCTGCGTTGGCTCCTGCGTTGGCTCCCTGTGTTGGCTCCCAGTGTTGGCTCCCAGTGTTGGCTCCCAGCATTGGATCCCTGCATTGGATCCCTGCATTGGCTCCTGCGTTGGCTTCCTGTGTTGGCTCCCAGTGTTGGCTCCCAGCGTTGGCTCCCAGTGTTGGCTCCCAGTGTTGGCTCCTAGCATTGGCTCCCAGTGTTGGCTCCCAGTGTTGGCTCCCTGCATTGGCTACCAGCATTGGCTCCCTGCGTTAGCTCACTGTTTCGGCTCCCTGCGTTGGCTCCTGTGTTAACTCCCAGCATTGGCTCCCTGCATTGGATCCCTGCATTGGCTCCTGCATTGGCTCCTGTGTTGGATCCCTGCATTGGCTCCTGTGTTGGCTCCCAGCGTTGGCTCCTGCATTGGCTCCCAGCATTGGCTCCCTGCGTTAGCTCACTGTTTCGGCTCCCTGCGTTGGCTCCCAGCGTTGGCTCCCAGTGTCAACTCCCAGTGTTAACTCCCAGCGTTGGCTCCCAGTGTCAACTCCCAGTGTTAACTCCCAGCATTGGCTCCCAGTGTCAACTCCCAGTGTTAACTCCCAACATTGGCTCCCAGTGTCAACTCCCAGTGTTAACTCCCAGCATTGGCTCCCAGTGTCAACTCCCAGTGTTAAATCCCAGCATTGGCTCCCTGTGTCAACTCCCAGTGTTAACTCCCAGCATTGGCTCCCTGTGTCAACTCCCAGTGTTAACTCCCAGCGTTGGCTCCCTGTGTTAGCTCCACTGTGCAGTGCTGAGTTAAAGGCCTGATTTCCGTGTCTGTGTGCAGATAACCGGCTGCTGGAGAAGTCTGACCTGCAGGCGGTTCTGTCCGAGAGGCTGCAGACGGAGAAATATGAACTGCAGAACCGGCACGACGTCAGGTTAGTCAGAACAATCAAGGTTGCATGCAACACATTCAGTTACTACACTAAATGCGTATTGAGTTGCGGTTAAAGTTGCACGCAACACATTCAGTTGTTCCGCTTTGTTTTGTTTTTGTTTGTACCTGTTTGAGGTTCTTTCTGTGTATCTCAGCTTAAACCGTTTTCTGTTAGTAGGTTCGAATCGTATGTTTGAAAGTGTGTCATTTGACATGATCAGATAATGCACTGCCAGCAATTGGCTGTTTCGTGAAACTTTTTCCACACAGTTGAGCTGCTTGTAACTGTTGCGGCTGAGTTTCAAATGAGTTGCAGGACTCCTTATGTTGCACAGCTCAAGTACAATTTAGTTTCTTGTAGGTTTCAAGCAACTAAAGTTGCACAGAAGTTTGACCGTGTACAGCCCAGATTTTTAAAGACTGTGTGAAAAAGACTGGATATTTGAGTCGACCCAAAGTTCCAAAACTGCTGCATATTAGCATCCTGTGAACTGTTTACATTCTTTTTCATAATGAGTGTGTTTGTTAGTAATTGTGTGTGTGTGTGTGTGTGTGTGTGTGTGTGTGTAGCCCAGGTGCGGAGTCTCTGCAGCAGGAAATGGCTCAGATACGAATCCGACACCAAGAGGAGCTCACAGAGCTGCACAAGAAACGTGGAGAGGTATAAGAGCATTATAGAGCTTTTTAAATGAAAAAGTAGAAGCCATATCGCCCCCTACACTTCCTGTAGTGTATTACAGTCTGTCAGAATGACTGTGTGGATCATATGAACATTATAGAGCTTTTTAAATGAAACAGTAGAAGCCATATCGCCCCCTACACTTCCTGTAGTGTATTACAGTCTGTCAGAGTGACTGTGTGGATCATATGAACATTATAGAGCTTTTTAAATGAAACAGTAGAAGCCATATCGCCCCCTACACTTCCTGTAGTGTATTACAGTCTTTCAGAATGACTGTTTGGATCATATGAACAAGAATGAAAATGTAACATTGTTATTCTGAATTGTTTTTGTGGTCGTTTCTTGTCTTTTTGCTCTGAAGCTGTTTTATGTGCCTGTACTGAACATGCTGAGCTGTCTTTAATGAACTAAAGCCTTTGTTTGTTTGTTTGTTTGTTTGTTTGTTTTTCCTGCAGTTGGCCCAGAGTGTGATAGAACTGAATAACCAGATTCAACAGAAGGACAAAGAAATTCAGAGCAACGAGGCCAAGTGAGTGTTAATGAGTGAGTGAGTGTGGTTAGTGGACAGTCTGTGTTTTGGTCAGTTTGTGTCAGTGATGTTGGAGAGGTCAGCAGCAGAGTTGAAGCTGACGGTCAGTTTTAACGTGTCTGTCTGCAGAATGTTGGAGTATCAGCAGCAGATCGCCCAGCTGGAGGGCGAATGCCGGGATTTGCGGAACTCTCTGGCGGATTTGGAGCGAGCCAATCAGACGCTGCGGGACGAGTACGATGCGCTCCAGATCACGTTCAGCGCTCTGGAGGAAAAACTGCGTAAAACGACGGAGGATAATCAGGAGCTGGTGACGCGCTGGATGGCAGAGAAAGCTCAGGAGGCCAACAGACTCAACGCCGAGAACGAGAAGGACTGCAGGTTAGAGGACGTTAAGAGAATGTTTGAAGTGTATTTACAGAAAATTCACAGTGTTTACAGAATATCCAGAAAATATTTACAAGATATTGACAGTATATTTACAGAATGTATACAGAACATTTACAGAATATTTACAGAATATTTAGAGAATGTTCACAGAATTTACAGAATATTCACGGAATATTTAATAAATATTTTCAAATTATTCACAGAATATTTATCGAATATCCTCAGATTATTCACAGAATGTATACAGAAAATTTACAAAATATTTACAGAATTTTTACTGAATATTTTCAGACTATTCACAGATTAGATACAGAAAATTCACAGATTATTCACAGAATATTCACAGAATATTTATTGAATATTCACAAAAAAATTAACAGAATATTTGCAAAAAATATAAAAAGTATTTACAGAATATTCACAAAATATTTCCAGAAAACTTCAGCCTTCAGCCAGTATTAATATCCCAAGATTATCATTTCCATCCATTACAGCTCTGAGAAAGCTTGTTCCCCATCAACCACTGAAGACGTACAGTCATGCGCAAAAGTTTGTGCGCCCCTGGTCAAATTCCATATTTTATTTTTGCGCACGTCTGTATCTGCATTTTATTCATTTTTACTGCATTAGTGACTCTCAGAAGTAAACGTTATATTTGTCTGTAACGCCAGTGCAGGTAGACTTCATCCCAGTTATATGTATCATATTAGCAGATATGTACAGAAATAATATTGAATATTTGCGTCAGTAGATGATCCTGATATCAGCACATCCTTAATTACTGCTGTTCTAGATAAAAAAATCAATAAACATCTTCTAGACGGAGTCAGTTAGATTCAGCAGAAACATAATCCCCCAATCTGAGTGATTCACACTCAGAGGACAGAGTGTAAACAGGCCTGTTTCAGACGCTCACAGTGTAAACAGCTGTGTGTGTGTGTGTGTGTGTGTGTGTGTGTGTGTGTGTGTGTGTGTGCGCGCACTGACAGTGTGAATGGTGAGTGATTAACACTGAATACACACACAGAATGTGGAGCAGAAGTTCATGCTTTGACTTTCTTAGAAAAAGTCACATACATGAAGGGAAACCCCACCAATTTTTCAAAATTTCCCCCATAACTCAGTGTGTGAGATGTAAACAGAGTGATTCAGAGTGGTTTGGAGTGAAACAGTTCAGATGTCTTTACAGTGGTGGTGATAGAAACCAGGGGTCGCCATGACTACAACACAGATATAGACATTTTATTTACTATCCAGAACCACCAGTGAACCTACACGAGTCTTCTGAGTTTATGTGGAATGTTGATGATGGAAAATAGTGGAAAATCTGAAATGATAAGTTTTCTTTGGGGACTATTTTGCCTCACAGCGCCCTGCATGTATCCCTCCACCATGAATGGAGTTTAAGTTCTCTAAACGATCATAAAACAGTGTCTCAGTCATCAGGCAGTGAATTCATAACCATTTCATGTAGTAACTTTCTGTGAGGGAGCTTTTAGAGGTGGACGTCTGGTTCCTATCACCACCACTGTGAACAGTTCTGACTCGGTAAGTTTATCTAGAACAGAGCGTTTCACACCAAACCACTCTGAACCACTCTGAACAACTCTGATTACACTTAAACATTTAATTATAGAGACCATTTTGGAAAAATGGTGGAGTTCCCCTTTAGTACTGTAGATGCTCCCTCTGAGGGTCTTTTGTGTTGGTCCTGTATGTTTTCTACATACAGATGTGTAAACAGAGTAGCGCTCAGTGTGATTAGAGCCGATCGTGTCTCTGTATTAGAAGCTTGTTGATGGTTAGTGTGAGTTATAGTGATCAGTGTCTGCGCTGCTACGTCAAAAACGCACCTCTGCGGTTTCACTTCTGCTTCTTGAGCCTGTTATTGTGGGACACAGGTCGTTCTTGTGTGTAGTTACAGTATTTATCGTCTTCAGACTCCGCCCATCTTATTTATGGATTTTTTGTTTGTTTGGGCAAATTTTTAATTGAACTTCACAACACAAAACAACACAGTGCACAACACATACTAACAGCACTTATCTGGGCACATCTTATTGAATAAAAGAGCAAAAAATAAATAAATTGAATGCATATAAACAACAGTATAAGATGAAATGGACTGGACACTGAGGCTACACTGTTTGACCAGTCCACACTACAGTTCAAAGGTTTAGAATCACTGTTGCAGACAAATCATATAAACATATAGATATGGATTGTATACAATATATTATATAATACATATTTTAGTTAAATATACTATAATAAGATTGTGTGTGTGTGTGTGTGTGTGTATATATATACATATCAGGTCAGGTAAAAATTACCGTAAATTTAGTAACCTTTTTGTTACTGAAATATTATTTGTATTATTTTCTAGTTAATTTCAATCTACATTCATTTTAATTTTATGTATGAAAAATGATAACTAACCTTTGAACGGTAGTGTAGATTACTTTTGATATTTGCTGAATTTTTACCTCATTTGAATATTTTTTCCAATTTTTATTATTATTTTATTTTATTTTATTTTTATTTTTGCAGTGCACAGCACATACTAACAGCACTTATCTGGGCACATCTTAATAAACAAACAAATAAATACATTTAGTGCATAAAAACAACAATACAAGATCAAATGGGCTGGACATTGAGGCTCCACTGTTTGACCAGTTTTGTTTTTTGTTTTTTGTTTTTTACACACACATAACAAATGAAAATAATACCCAGAATGCCTTTTACTTGAAAAGCGGTCAGCAGCTGTCTGGTAAATAATTAAATTAATTAATTAAATTAATTAATAAAAAATTAAAGCCCCTTTTTTACCATTTAGTAACGTTTTGAGTGTTGAAATATTAAAAAGAAATACATTCTGTGGTTTAGTATATTTCAGTCTACAGTTTATAAGTTAATTTTGATATTTTAATAAAAGTAATTTTATGTATGGAAAATGAAGATGGCACGATTTTGAACAGTAGTGTAGATGACTGTTTTGATATTTGCTGAATTTTACCTCATTTGAGTATTTTTTCCTACTCTTTCCATATTTTTTGCTTTGCAAATTTTTAATTTTAAATTAACTCAACAACACAAAACAACACAATACTAACAGCACTGGGCGCATCTTAATTAATAATTAATAAACAAATAAATCAGTCCACAGTACAGCTCAAATGTTTGGGTTTGGCTACTGTCAGGTAGATATTTTTTTCAAAAATTTACTGTAAATAAAAAATAAATAAAGTACCATTTTTAGTATTGAGTAACTTTTTTGTTATTGAAATATTACAGTAAAAACATCTTAAAATACGTTGTAGTGGTTGTCTAGTATATTTCCATCTTCATGGTATACATTATTTTTGACATTGTTAATAAAAGCAATTTTATATATGAAAATTGATAATTGCAAACTTTTGAACTGTAGTGTAGATGATTTACCTCATTTGAAAATGTTTACTACTACTTTCATTTTCTGTATTGTTTTTTATATATATATATATATATATATATATATATATATATATATATATATATATATATATATATATATATATAATACCCACAGAAGGAGTTGACCTCCTGAATTCTCCTCAGCTGTTCAGAAGTGTGAACGTTCAGGTCTTCAGAACTGAGATGATGATGTTCTGCCGTTTAAGGCGGAGTGGAGAGTTAACGGCCCGGCCGTTTAAGGTAGAATAGAGGGTTAATGACCGGGTCGTTCAGGTAGAGAACAGAATCTCACCTAAATACTGACTTAATGGCCGTTAGTGTCTCGCGCCTGATTGGCTGTCTGAGGGTTTAAATTCAGGAGCAGAACTCAGTTTGTTCAGAGTGTGGACAGAGCCAGGCCGGGTCAGAGCCAGGCCGGGTGGGCTGACCCTCTGAGCTGGTTCAGGCTCGGCGGAGCTCTGCTGCCGGCTGTACTGACGGGCTGGTAGGTTTTATTTTGTGTTATATTGTGTTGTGAGTCGGATTTAGCGGCAGTTTTGGAACCTGGAGCTGCTTTTGTTGACCAAACAGTCCACCTGTCTGATCAGACGTGAAGGTTTGTGACTGTTTTACTTGGATTTTTATTGCGTATTTGTATCTGTATTTGTGTTTTCTCAGGCGCAGACAGGCTAAACTGCAGAAGGAGCTGGCCGACGCTGCCAAAGAGCCGCTGCCCATCGAGCCGTAAGTGTCCACACAGCTTTAATAATAGTAATAATAATAACAATAATAACAATAATAACAGTCATATGTCTGTATGGTGTAAAAATCATTTAATTAATTTTGGAATTAATGAATTGCATTAATTCAGTTTTGGCATGTTCTTATTGTCGATGTTAGATTATTGTTTTTTTTATGTAAATTGCAATCTGAAACAGTTTCATTTTATTACTTATATTTTTTTTTTAAGTTTTATGTGAGGAAATTTAATTTTATGTATTAATTTTTTAACATCTTAATTTTAAGTGAGCAAAATTCAGTTCTATTATATATTAAATTGTATAACATCTTAACTTTTAAGTGAGATTTTGATTATACATAAGTTACATCTGTGTATTCAGCTTATTTTTCGAAATATTCCTGAATTGTATGAAAGCATTGAATTGAATTGGTGAAATTTGATATTTCATGATGCTGAAGAACTGTAATTGAATCGTGAGTTTGAGAAATTAACGCTGTAATTTTGCTACGTTTTCACTTCCGTTACACGGTAGTGATGCTGATCGATTAGGGCTGAGCGATATGGCAGTATATATCATTATCGTGCTAAATTATGTCACAATATAATATTCTTTTCTGAACATATTGTGTATATCGTCAGACACTGACCCACTGCGTGTGAGATCAAAATGAGTCCCGTTTAACTGGATTTAGTGACTGAATACTGAGTAAAAGTCATTTTGTTTACATCATTTTTGTATTTTTAAAATCTAGCTCTACTGAAAAAAATAAGAATTGTGAAATATCATTTATCATGAAAATTTCATTTTCTTTATTTCTTTAAGTATTGCGATATTATATTTTTGTCATATCGCTCAACTCTACGATTGATCTGATTCTGTAATCTGATTGGATTAGGGATGATGACATCGAGGTTCTTTCAGAGGATTCTGGGAAAGGGCCCGGAGAGACGTCCCCGGGCCGAATGCCCAGCAGAACACCGAGGTACACACACACACTGACACACACACACACTCACACACACACACACACTGACACACACACACACTCACACACTGACACACACACACACTCACACACACACACACACTGACACACACACACACACTCACACACACACTGACACACACACACACACTGACACACACACACACACACTCACACACACACACACACACACACACACTCACTCACACACACACACTGACACACACACACACTCACACACACACTGACACACACTCACTCACACACACACACGCACACTGACACACACTCACACTCACACACACTCACACACACATACACTCTGAATTTCTTTATTTAGAACAGTCCAGATGGGTCTTGATGAGGCTCACACACTCATATACATTTCAATAATACAAATATTAAAGCCTATTAATAATCCTTTTGAAATATTGATTAAATATTGATTTAATAATGGTTCTCTTTGTCTTCTCTCCTCAGTAAACGTGTGTCACAGCCTCCCCCTGCTGGACTGCTGGACTCCATTTCCAATATCTTCGGGTATGTGTGTGATGTCTCTGAGTGATGTTTCTGTCTGATCTGTGTGTGACGTCTCTGTGTCTGATCTGTGTGTGTGATGTCTCTGAGTGATGTTTCTGTCTGATCTGTGTGTGATGTCTCTGTGTCTGATCTGTGTGTGTGATGTCTCTGAGTGATGTTTCTGTCTGATCTGTGTGTGATGTCTCTGTGTCTGATCTGTGTGTGTGATGTCTCTGAGTGATGTTTCTGTCTGATCTGTGTGTGATGTCTCTGTGTCTGATCTGTGTGTGTGATGTCTCTGTGTCTGATCTGTGTGTGTGATGTCTCTGAGTGATGTTTCTGTCTGATCTGTGTGTGATGTCTCTGTGTCTGATCTGTGTGTGACGTCTCTGTGTCTGATCTGTGTGTGATGTCTCTGAGTGATGTCTCTGTGTCTGATCTGTGTGTGTGATGTCTCTGTGTCTGATCTGTGTGTCTGATGTCTCTGAGTGATGTTTCTGTCTGATCTGTGTGTGATGTCTCTGTGCCTGATCTGTGTGTGACGTCTCCGTGTCTGATCTGTGTGTGATGTCTCTGAGTGATGTCTCTGTGTCTGATCTGTGTGTGACGTCTCTGTGTCTGATCTGTGTGTGACGTCTCTGTGTCTGATCTGTGTGTGACGTCTCTGTGTCTGATCTGTGTGTGTGATGTCTCTGAGTGATGTTTCTGTCTGATCTGTGTGTGACGTCTCTGTCTGATCTGTGTGTGACGTCTCTGTGTCTGATCTGTGTGATGTCTCTGTGTCTGATCTGTGTGTGTGATGTCTCTGAATGATGTATCTGTCTGATGTGTGTGACGTCTCTGTGTCTGATCTGTATGTGTGATGTCTCTGAGTGATGTTTCTGTCTGATCTGTGTGTGATGTCTCTGTGTCTGATCTGTGTGTGTGATGTCTCTGAGTGATGTATCTGTCTGATGTGTGTGACGTCTCTGTGTCTGATCTGTATGTGTGATGTCTCTGAGTGATGTATCTCTGTGTCTGATCTGTCTGTGTATGCGAATGTCCGTGTGTGTTTGTATGACGTCTGTCTGTCTGTCTGTGTGTCTGTGTATGATGTCTGTGTGTGTTTGATGTCTATCTGTGTCTGTGTGATGTCTATGTCTTTGTGTGATGTGTGTGTGTGTGTGTATGGTGTCTATCTTTGTATGATGTCTGTCTGTCTGTCTGTATGATGTCTGTCTGTGTGTATGATGTCTGTCTGTGATGTCTGTATGATGTCTGTGTGATGTCTGTGTGATGTCTGTCTGTATGATGTCTGTCTGTGTGATGTCTGTGTATGATGTCTGTCTGTATGATGTCTGTCTGTGTATGATGTCTGTCTGTATGATGTCTGTCTGTGTATGATGTCTGTCTGTATGATGTCTGTCTGTGTGATGTCTGTGTGATGTCTGTGTGTATGATGTCTGTCTGTGATGTCTGTGTGATGTCTGCCTGTGTGTATGATGTCTGTCTGTATGATGTCTGTCTGTGTGATGTCTGTGTGTATGATGTCTGTCTGTGTGTATGATGTCTGTCTGTGTGATGTCTGTGTGATGTCTGTGTGTATGATGTCTGTCTGTGTGTATGATGTCTGTCTGTGTGATGTCTGTGTGATGTCTGTGTGTATGATGTCTGTCTGTGTGTATGATGTCTGTCTGTGTGATGTCTGTGTGATGTCTGTCTGTGTGATGTCTGTGTGTATGATGTCTGTCTGTATGATGTCTTTGTATGATGTCTGTCTGTATGATGTCTGTCTATCTTTGTATGATGTCTGTGTATGATGTCTGTCTGTGTGTATGATGTCTGTCTGTCTGTGTGTGTATGCCTGTGTGATGTCTAACTGTATGTATGATGTCAGTCTGTGTGTGTGATATCTGTCTGTCTGTCTGTTGTGTCTGTGTGTATAATGTCTGCCTGTCTGTGTCTGTTATGTCTCTCTGTGTATTTCTGATGTCTGTATGTGTGTCTTGTTTATTTGTGATGTCTGTATGTCTTTCTGTCTGTGTGTATGATGTCTGTCTATGTGTGTGATGTGTGTCTGTGTTGTCTAACTGTATGTGTGGTGTCTGTGTGATGTCTGTCTGTGTGTGTATTATGTCTGTCTGTCTGTATGATGTCTGTCTATGTGTGAGTGATGTGTGTCTGTGTGATGTCTGTCTGTCTGTATGATGTCTGTCTGCGATGTCGGTCTGTGTGTCTGTATGATGTCTGTCTGTATGATGTCTGTCTGTGTGTCTGTATGATGTCTGTCTGTATGATGTCGGTCTGTGTGTCTGTATGATGTGTGTCTGTATGATGTCTGTCTGTGTGATGTCTGTCTGTCTGTATGATGTCTGTCTGTATGATGTCTGTCTGTGTGTATGTTTTTGTGTGTTTTAAATGTATTTAGTGTTCACCATGTTAAATAATAAATAAAGTAAAATATTTAATATATTCCATTTTGTATGTTAATAACAAATATTTGTGACATAAGTTGAAATTGAAAAGACAGTAACTTATATGTCATTTATTTTAATATTTAATTTTTATCTGTATTAAGTGTTAATAAACTGTCTTTATTCCTGAACAGGGTCAGTTATTCCTGTGTAAATCTCTGTTTTATCAGCCCTGTGTGAAGCGATGTGCTCCTCCTGCTCCAGGCTGGGCTGAATGTGTGAGTGATGGTGTTTGTGTTTGTTTTAGAAGGCGTCGCTCGCTGAATTCCCACGGCACGTCTCCGGAGAGCGCGGACGCTCCGACTGGAGTGTGTGCGGAGGTCAGAGTGCCGTCCACCGCGCTGCATGTCTTCGTAAGTCTCTTCATCACACACTCGCTCCTGTGGTCACCACGCTTATTTATTCAGTGATGTGACGTTAGAGCTGATTGGTCAGTGATGTGATATTAGAGCTGATTGGTCAGTGGTGTGATATTAGAGCTGATTGGTCAGAGCTGAGGGTCAGTCATGTGATATTAGAGCTGATTGGTCAGTGATGTGGTATTAGAGCTGATTGGTCAGAGCTGAGGGTCAGTGATGTGATATTAGAGCTGATTGGTCAGTGATGTGGTATTAGAGCTGATTGGTCAGAGCTGAAGGTCAGTGATGTGATGTAAAAGGTCTGAAGCCCGGCTCTCTCTGTTCCTGAGCTCCTCCCGGCCCCCTGCTGTTCTCCCAGCATGCTCTAGGTGTGTGTAGCTGGTTTGCGGGGGGCTGATATTGAGGCGGCTGAGCTGGGTGTGTGTCTCTGAGAGCAGCGAGATACACACACAGCATCGCCCCACACACACACACCACACACACACCACACACACACACACACAGGAGGATGGAGGTTCAGCAGAGACACAGCAGAGGCTCATGATCTCCAGTTTTCAAGCTGAGACCTTCCAGAACTTTCCATCAGTGTAACCGAGTCCCAGCTGCGCTATCTGGTTAAAGGGCCCGTATCCTGGACAAAGGTTCAAGGTAGCCCACACAGTCCATATATGAATACTAAGCTGCAAAACAGCTTGTTTTGAATTCACTGTTTTTGTGATGTCACAAAAACCAACTCATTTACATACATCCCCCTATTCAGTCTGCGGCAGTTTAACCCTGGCCATTCACAGCGAAGTTGTAAAGAGTGTTTCAGCCAGGCCTGCTTTTGGAATGAGGTGCAATACAGGGCAGCCAGTCAGAACAGAGCTCATTTGCATACATCGGTCTTAAAGGGACAGTCTTAAAAAAATCTTACAGTACTTATGATATTCAAGCAAAGCTGCATGTTTTAGTTAAAGTCATAAATAGACTCTCTCTCTCTCTCTCTCTCACTCACTCTCTCTCTCTCTCTCTCTCTCTCTCTCTCTCTGTACTCTTTCTCTCTCTGTTCTCTCTCTTTATTTCTCTCGCTCTCTTTCTCTTTCTATCTCCCTCTCCTTCTCTCTCTTTCTCTCTCTCTCTCTCTCTCTCTCTCTCTCTCTCTCTCTGTTTATACCCAGGACGCCCACGACGGCGAGGTGAACGCAGTGAGGTTCAGTCCTGGATCCCGTCTCCTAGCGACAGGAGGGATGGACCGCAGGGTGAAGCTGTGGGAGGTGGTAGCAGGTAAAGATGACGAGCATCATCACAGATTCGTCCTGTGAAGCTCAGAGCCGAGCGTTTATTCTGCCCTCGTGTAAATTTGGGAAATCAGAATTTCCAGAATAAAAAGGACATTTTTACAGTTTGGGGGGAAAAAAGAATTTAATTTTGATGCTCTGAAAATGTATTTACATAGAGGAGGTACTGTAGTACTCGGCCCATTCCTTCTTAAAAGCATGTCAGAATAAAAGTCCTTGTGCCCTGTGACATTTGAGGAAGTCAGAACTTCCATACAAAAGATTTTCAAGTTCACTTCTTTGAAAGCCGTCCTGTTAATGATTTTAAAGTTCTCACGCTTACATTTAAGGCCAAATTGTTGTATTTTGAATTTTTTATAACTATTTTTTTTTAATAGTTAATGTGCGTATGTGACTGGAAGGTCGCACCACCTGACATTATGGGGAATTTTATTTTAAGGCACTGAAAAATGTATTCAGATAAAGGGTGTGTTTATGGCATGTTAACCAATGTGTTATGGTATACACTTTTTATTTCAAAGGAAAATTGACTTGGATGCAAAAAGTACGTCTTGAAACACAATATTTGTGACACAAATACATAACGTGTTTTTAATTGTTGTTTTTTCGTGTCTTTGGATGTTTGTCCAGGTCGCTGTGAACCCAAGGGGGCGCTAACGGGCAGCAACGCTGGAATCACCAGCATTGAGTTTGACAGCGCAGTGAGTTCATCAGCCACCATTACAGACTTTAAAGAATCTTACCAACAGCATAACGTTATGATCCGTTAAAGCGCCCAAATCATCAAAAAATTAGCTTTATTTTTTAAATAAAACTTCAGTGTAGTATGGAAACATTGTCATATTTTAAAAACCCACCACAAAAGCAGCCTGTTTTGAATTAATTCCTTTTTGTGATGTCACAAAACCCAGCGCATTTACTTCCATATGTTCAGCCTACATGTACAGCCCTGCCCACTGACAGTGAAGTTCAAGCCAGGCGTCTTTCAAGCCAGGCTACTGTTTGAATGAGGCGCAGCCAATCAGAACAGAGCTCATTTGCATATATCTTAAGGACACGGTAACAGAATCGGCCTGTTTAATTGTTTGGGATAAAGCGAGGCTGGAAAATGATCATGTAGAAATGAATTATGACTTTTTGATGCATAAAACAGCACAAACGATCGACAGCAAGAACAGTGTAGTATGTGGGCTCTTCAGCATTGTTCTTGTAGCTGTTCTCTTAAAAAAAAAACTCACCTCCTCTAAATCTGCTGCTTCTTCACTTTATCATAGTAAAGCTCCGTCCCAGATATTGTTTGGCCAATAGAATCAGCAGTATTAAAGTTCCACAGGTTTACAGTGGTGTGCGTGTTCCTCCTCAGGGTTCTTACCTGCTGGCGGCATCCAACGACTTCGCAAGTAGAATCTGGACCGTGGACGACTACAGACTGAGGGTGAGGAGACAAAAACACACTACATCTGTAAACAGAGATTCAGAGTGGTTTGGTGTGAAATGGTTCAGATGTCTTTACAGTGGTGGTGATAGGAACCAGGGGTCGCCATGACTACAACACAAATATAGACATTTTATTTACTATCCAGAACCACCAGTGAACCTACACGAGTCTTCTGAGTTTATATGGAATGTTGATGATGAAAATAGTGGAAAATCTGAAATAATAAGTTTTCTTTGGGGACTATTTTGACTCACAGCGCCCTGCATGTATCCCTCCACCATGAATGGAGTTTAAGTTCTCTAAACTATCATAAAACAGTGTCTCAGTCATCAGGTAGTGAATTCATAACCATTTCATGTAGTAACTTTCTGTGAGGGAGCTTTTAGAGGTGGACGTCTGGTTCCTATCACCACCACTGTGAACAGTTCTGACTCTGTTTTTAGCTTTCAGCTTTAAGGTCACTAGTCAGGCTGTGGAAGCTGACTGGTCAGTGCTAAAGGTCAGTGATGTGATGTAAAAGGTCTGAAGTCCGGCTCTCTCTGTTCCTGAGCTCCTCCCAGCCCCCCCGATGTTCTCCCAGCATGCTCTAGGTGTGTGTAGCTGGTTTGCGGGGGGCTGATATTGAGGCGGCTGTGCTGAGTGTGTGTCTCTGAGAGCAGCGAGATACACACACACACACAGCATCGCCACACACACACAGCATCGCCACACACACACAGCATCGCCACACACACACAGCATCGCCACACACACAGCATCGCCACACACACAGCATCGCCACACACACACACACCCCACACACACACCCCACACACCCCACACACACACATAGGAGGATGGAGGTTCAGGAGAGCCGAGCAGCTGATCTCAACCTCATACTGAGACCTGAACACTTCCCCATGTCTGGTCTGAGAGTAGAGTCTGTCTGTACTGATGAACCTAAACGGTCTGATTCTGCCCCTCCAGCACACCCTGACCGGCCACAGTGGGAAAGTTCTGTCCGCTCGGTTCCTGCTCGATAACGCCCGCATTGTCTCCGGCAGCTACGACCGGACGCTCAAACTGTGGGACCTGCGCAGCAAAGTCTGTAAGAAACCCCTTTATTACCCAGTATTAACATTTACGCCATTCCCAGCACCAACATTAACACCAGTTCCCACCACCAGTATTAACATTTACACTGTTCCCCACACCAACAGTCACATTAGCACCATTCCTGACAACAACAGTAACATTAGCACCGTTCCCAACTCCGATATTAACATTAACGAAGTTCCCAACACCAACAGTATGATTAGCACAATTCCCTACACCAACAATAACATTACGCCATTCCCAACACTCTCAACACCATTCCCAACACCAACAGTAACATTACACCATTCCCAGCACCAACATTAACATCACACCATTCCCAGCACCTATATTAACACCAGTTCCCACCACCAGTATTAACACTGTTCCCAACACCAACAATAACATTACACCATTCCCAATACCAACAATAACATTACACCATTCCCGACACCAACAGTAACATTACACCATTCCCAACACCGATATTAACATTAACATAGTTCCCAACACCAATATTAACATTAACACCGCTCCCAACACAAATATTAACATTAACACCGCTCCCAACACCGATATTAACATTAACATAGTTCCCAACACCAATATTAACATTAACACCGCTCCCAACACCAATATTAACATTAACACCGCTCCCAACACAAATATTAACATTAACACCGTTCCCAACACCAATATTAACATTAACACTGTTCCCAACACCGATATTAACATTAACATAGTTCCCAACACCAATATTAACATTAACACCGCTCCCAACACCAATATTAACATTAACACCGCTCCCAACACAAATATTAACATTAACACCGCTCCCAACACCAATATTAACATTAACACCGCTCCCAACACCAATATAAACATTAACACTGTTCCCAACACCGATATTAACATTAACATTGTTCCCAACACCAATATTAACATTAACATTGTTCCTGACCCCAACATTAACATTACACCATTCCCTACACCAACATTAGCACCATAGTAATGGCATTCTATTATAACACAAACAGTGCCATTAAACTAATCCCCCAACACGAACGAACATTAACTTGAGCACCATTCACCAGCACCACAATGCCAGCCTCAACATTAGCACTAACACTAAGCTCCGCCCTGCATACCTTTAGTCTTGTGTTCGAACGTACCTGACGCTCTCCTCATTCTCTCAGGTATGAAGACGGTGTTTGCAGGTTCTAGCTGTAATGACATCGTCTGCACAGAGCAGTGTGTGATGAGCGGTCACTTTGATAAGAAGGTTCGCTTCTGGGACATCAGGTAAGTGACATCAGTTACGGGACAATTAGGTTTTATTTCTGGGTTCTTGTGTGGGTCAGTTATGGGGCAATCAGGTTTTAGTTCGGGGTTAATGTATGGTGTTCAGCAAGGTTCTGTTATGGGACAATCAGGTTTTATTTCTGGGTTACTATGTGGTGTTCCACAGGGCTCAGTTATGTGGCGTTTAGGTTTGTTAATGTGTGGCGTTCCACAGGGCTCAGTTACGTGGCGTTTAGGTATGTTAATGTGTGGCGTTCCACAGGGCTCAGTTAGGGGACCTTCAGGTTTTAGTTTTGGGTTAATGTGTGGTGTTCCACAGGGCTCAGTTACGTGGCGTGTAGGTTTGTTAATGTGTGGCGTTCCACAGGACTCAGTTACGTGGCGTTTAGGTTTGTTAATGTGTGGTGTTCCACAGGGCTCAGTTAGGGGACGTTCAGGTTTTAGCTTTGGGTTAATGTGTGGTGTTCCACAGGGCTCAGTTAGGGGACGTTCAGGTTTTAGCTTTGGGTTAATGTGTGGTGTTCCACAGGGCTCAGTTAGGGGACCTTCAGGTTTTAGTTTTGGGTTAATGTGTGGTGTTCCACAGGGCTCAGTTACGTGGCGTGTATGTTTGTTAATGTGTGGCGTTCCACAGGACTCAGTTACGAGACATTCAGTTTTTAGTTCTGTACTTATGATGTATTACAGTACAGTTACAGTATCAGCACTGACTGCAGGATCGTCATACGTGTCTGTATGTATGTTTGTCTGTGTAGGTCTGAGAGTATAGTGTGTGAGCTGGAGCTGTTGGGCCGTGTTACGTCTTTAGACCTGAATCATGATCGAACGGAGCTGCTCACCTGTTCCCGTGACGACCTGGTGAAGATTATTGATCTTCGCAACAACGCTGTGCGACAGACCTTCAGCGCTCAGGGCTTCAAGTGTGGCTCTGACTTCACCAGAGTTACCTTCAGGTGAGTTTTTGCTCAGGAAGCAGCTAATTATGCAGAACATTCGGGTCTATTAGATCAGTTCAGATATGGACATCAAGTTCTCAATCAGTTCACTTTAAAAACGGTTTAATAATCTGTATTATTGATCCAGAAATGATCCAGAACGTGTTACTGAGCGTTCCGTTGTTGTGTCTGTCTCAGCCCTGATGGGAGTTACGTAGCCGCGGGTTCTGCAGACGGTGTCCTGTACGTGTGGAACGTTCTGACCGGGAAACTAGACAAGACCCTGGACAAAGCCCACAGGTCAGTCTCGTCCACTGCATCCAGTTTGTCCAGTTCAGTTCTTCCCTCCTTGCAGTTCTGTTGAACTCCATTTTCCATCAGAATGTAAAGACCCATGGAAGAAACTCAGAAAAACGTCACATTAATCAAAATACGTCTGGAGTTCCTGTTTACATTGACTTAGCTTTACACTTAATCCAGTTCATTTTAGTCTTAAATTGGAATTAGTTTAACTTCCTTCCACATAAGCTTTACACTCTTTCCAGTTTAATCCAGTTTCACTTGATTTTCATTCCAGTTTAATACAGTTTAGCTTTAGCTTTTAGTAGGTTTTATTAGCTATTTAAATTAGGCTTAGCTACATCCAGTTTAGCTTAGCTTTACTCCCCGTCCAGTTTAGCTTAGCTTTACTCTCCATACAGTTTAGCTTAGCATTACTCTCCGTCCAGTTTAGCTTAGCTTTACTCCCCGTCCAGTTTAGCTTAGCTTTACTCTCCGTCCAGTTTAGCTTAGCTTTACTCTCCATCCAGTTTAGCTTAGCTTTACTCCCCGTCCAGTTTAGCTTAGCTTTACTCTCCATACAGTTTAGCTTAGCATTACTCTCCGTCCAGTTTAGCTTAGCTTTACTCCCCGTCCAGTTTAGCTTAGCTTTACTCCCCGTCCAGTTTAGCTTAGCTTTACTCCCCGTCCAGTTTATCTTAGCTTTACTCTCCGTCCAGTTTAGCTTAGCTTTACTCTCCGTCCAGTTTAGCTTAGCTTTACTCCCCATACAGTTTAGCTTAGCTTTACTCCCCATACAGTTTAGCTTAGCTTTACTCCCCGTCCAGTTTAGCTTAGCTTTACTCTCCGTCCAGTTTAGCTTAGCTTTACTCCCCATACAGTTTAGCTTAGCTTTACTCCCCGTCCAGTTTAGCTTAGTTTTACTCTCCATACAGTTTAGCTTAGCTTTACTCCCCATACAGTTTAGCTTAGCTTTACTCCCCGTCCAGTTTAGCTTAGTTTTACTCTCCATACAGTTTAGCTTAGCTTTACTCCCCGTCCAGTTTAGCTTAGTTTTACTCTCCGTCCAGTTTAGCTTAGCTTTACTCCCCGTCCAGTTTAGCTTAGCTTTACTCTCCGTCCAGTTTAGCTTAGCTTTACTCTCCGTCCAGTTTAGCTTAGCTTTACTCCCCGTCCAGTTTAGCTTAGCTTTACTCTCCGTCCAGTTTAGCTTAGCTTTACTCTCCGTCCAGTTTAGCTTAGCTTTACTCCCCGTCCAGTTTAGCTTAGCTTTACTCCCCGTCCAGTTTAGCTTAGCTTTACTCTCCGTCCAGTTTAGCTTAGCATTACTCCCCGTCCAGTTTAGCTTAGCTTTACTCTCCGTCCAGTTTAGCTTAGCTTTACTCCCCGTCCAGTTTAGCTTAGCTTTACTCTCCGTCCAGTTTAGCTTAGCTTTACTCTCCGTCCAGTTTAGCTTAGCTTTACTCCCCGTCCAGTTTAGCTTAGCTTTACTCTCCGTCCAGTTTAGCTTAGCTTTACTCCCCGTCCAGTTTAGTTTAGCTTTACTCTCCGTCCACTTAATCCAATTTAGCTTTACTCCCCGTCCAGTTTAGCTTAGCTTTACTCCCCGTCCAGTTTAGTTTAGCTTTACTCTCCGTCCACTTAATCCAATTTAGCTTCACTCCCCGTCCAGTTAAGCTTAGCTTTACTCTCCGTCCAGTTTAGCTTAGCGTCACCTTCCATACCTCAGCTTTAGCTCAACCCAGTTAATTTAGCTTTGCCTTCCATTTAACTTAGCTCAGCTTTACGGTTTATCCAGTTCAGCTCATCCCTACAGCAGCCGCTTCTTTTACCTTCTTTTACTCATTTTTCTCTGTTATTTTTTTTCTTTTTTCACAGCTCTGCTATTAACTCTGTGTCGTGGTCTCCGTCGGGCACCTACGTGGTCAGCGTGGAGAAGGGCAGCAGGGGGGTGCTCTGGTCCGACATGTGATTGGTCTGTCTCTGCCCTGGCTCGATGTGATTGGATGAAGCGGTCTATTAAAGGACAAAGCGGAGAGAGGGCTGACGCACTTTCTTTTCTGGCACTTGGACTGTGTTTCCCAGGATGCAACACGGCGGACAGGGGGGGGCTGGGGGTGGGGCTGGGAAAAGGGGCGGGGTTTACAGCCTTATACCCCCACCTATAACCGCATTCATATCAGCACTCCTGTTATCTCTTCCTCTCTTTCACACACGCGTTTATCAGGAGGTGACTGGACGTCTGAAGCACCGGTTTCCGCGATGTTATTTAAAGCGGTCGTTAGTTTGCTTTTCGTTCTTCTTGCCTTACGTATTAAAGCGAGTGAGTCGGGTGCAGATTCTGCCACTAGAGAGCGCCGTTCGCTCATCAGCTCATCCACTCTGCAGCTGACCCGCTCACTGCTGATTGGCTGAGTGGGTAGGTAAAGCCCCGCCTCCTCTATTGCATCTATGGAAAATATAAATATAAATGGAAAAAAATGTAACTATTTAAAGAAAAAAATCCTTAATATTTTAAAAAGAACAGACAGTTAAAGGACTAGTTCACCAAAAAATCAAATTTGCACTCAATGTCCCTTATTCCAAATGTAGTTGACCAAGGCACTTTCAGTGTCTGCAAGGCTGATATAATAAAGATCTGTGTCACCGAAAGATTTTGGGTGACATAGACTTCCATTGCATACTAGCTACATTAGCCTCGTTGCTCAAGTGCTAAAACTACCGAAGCAAATTTCTCGCGCCAAACTTGTCTCGGCTGATCGACTGCTTTTCAGATAAAGGGGATTTTGTGTACATTTGGTTCTTCGGTGAACTTTTCCTTTAAACTAAACATCGAATTCCTTTAAATCTGCTAATGAGTTTTAGCATCAGTGGATAATTGCAGCCCGGAGTGTCCAATAGGAATGTCCGTATCATGTTTTGAGTTTTAAAGACTATCTGTAGCCTGAAGCAGCGAGACTGCAGCACACAGAAGAGTTAAAGGGGAATTCCACTAAAATATGATGCTAACTGCTATCAGCGAAGCTAACACTGCGCTTGTGGCTGAGCTGCAGCACCATTACATCACACGGACACACTGCTCAGTTGATGTGTATGGAAAATGAAGGGGGTTTGTTTTAAGGCCCGACCGATAAATCGTTTGGCCGATAATGACGACCGATATTGATGATTTCGTGTGATGTGTCGTTTGAGGCTGCGAGTTTCTGCTGTTTGTGTTTGGACCGACAGTCATATCAGTCAGGAAAGCACTAATCAGCCAAAAATATGAAGAGTTTTATCAGTTATTGGAACGGTCAGGTCCCAGTTTATCATTGGAAACAATGCTGCCGGAAAAACGCCAAGATGTTATATCATTACTTGTATTATCGCACCTGTGAATCTACAAGACTGTTGAATTTTGGTGGACTTCCCCTTTAAGCCTTGCCCAGATTGAATTTTGACAGCAGTGTCAAGTTCAGTAATAACGATACACTAAATAACACTGTATTCTTCCCAGAAATAATGGTTAATATGAATATTACAGTTTACAAATACAAGTGCAAACCCAAAACTGCTCGTGGTGGAAAGTTTGTTTATTGTCGCTGTCATGCAAAAAAACACTCGGATCTCAATTTGACTTTTTTTCAGAATTTGAAAATTCCTGTTGGCCTTTGCATTGTGTGAAAATTCCCAAAATGGTCCAAAATTCGTTGGGAAAAATTCCGGTTCCATTGACTTTGATTACAAGTTAAAAATGGTTTTGTTTCTCCTGCAAATTGACAGTTTTGGTTTCGTTCCATCAGCGACGAAATGTAACTTTTACTGCCCAAAATGTCCAGCACACCTGCATTTATGTGTCATTTACCTTATTTTCCAGTCAAAACAGCCAATAAGTACAACTTGTTCATTTTTCCGTCAGAAAAAAACACATTTAACAAAAATTACCCAGAATCCTCAGCAGCTGAATCTAATCTCAGCTGTGTTCAGTCAGTGAGTCACTCTTCACCTTTATTCCAGCTTCCATTCTTTTCAGGAGACTCACTTTCAGTTCCTCAAAGAATCTGCAGACACACCTCCAAAGTTCAGTCTTAGAAGCTGGTTGATCATTTTCTGAAGTAATCAAACACATTCAGTGGTGTTGAGGTCTGGACTCTGGGGTGGTCAGTCCATCGTTCAACTTCTTTGTTTGATGTGTCCGTCTCCTTTTCTCAGTGAGGTTCTTCTTGATCAGCTACACATCCTTTCAGACCCACAGCGCTGAGTTGTCTCCTCACAGTGGAAGGATGGACAGAAACACTTGTGGATGTTTTCAGATCTGAAGCAGCTTGATTTTCTCCTCTCTCTCAGAGATGAAAGCTTTAAGTGCTGTTTATCTGATGGGGGCAGGTTTGGGGTCGACCAGGTCTTCCAGGTGGTTGCTAGGAGACACATTTACTGTGTAAATTATCTTATATCTGATCTTCTCACAAATCTCTCCTAAAAATGTATAACTTGTGCTTAAAGGCTGTTTGACTGTTTGGCTCATACAGAGTCTCGATTAAAGCTGTCCTCACACAGCAGTTGCACACGTCATATTGCAGAGGCTTCTGGGTAATCCTGTGTCTAACTTCATGTTGTAGAAGATCAGTGCTGATAAACTACACATAATGTACAGTTTCATGCAGTGTCTCATTGACTCTGGTGCATCTGGAGGGTGGGGCTTGAGTTCAGCACTGTGCCAGATTTCTTGTGGGCGGGGCTAAGGATGATCTCTGTATCCCATTGGCTAAAGAAGTGTCTAAGTTATGATAAATGGATAAATGTATGTGAAGTGTCTGTGTACGGCTGAGAAATGTTTACACACCAACAACCATGACTGTGTGTGTTCTGTCCTTCATAGACAAGATGATGGGACATATAGTTTATACCCACATATATTTATATATTATCACATGTAGGTACTTGCATATTCAGTACATATGACACATTATACACACACACATATATACACACACACACATAATGCATGTAAGAAACATTACATGTAGACACTTATAGATAATACATATGAGATGTTACATATTGGTACATATGTATACACAGTGCATATGGGACATGTTGCTATAGGTTCATATTTATCTTAGCTGCTTTCATATATGTAATACATACTGGGACATATTACATACAGGAGTGTTACTCATATAGATACCTACATGTATATAATACATATGGGACGTATTGTAAATAGGCACATTTAAATACTTCCCTATATATGTACATATATAAAACATGGGACACATTTTGAGTATTAAATATATAATGGTGCTCGTGTGTGTGTGTGTGTGTGTGTGTGTGTATATATATATATATATATATATATATATATATATATATACACACACGTATAAAACATTGTCCGTACATTTACATAACACATATGAGACACTATTATCACATACATGTATTTATATATATATATATATATGTTTATGACCTCACGTCCTGAAATATAAACATGATAATAATAAGAAATATAAACGTGTATGTACACATGTGTGTGCAGTGGTGTGTGATTACGCTGAGCTCCCGGGTGAGGGGACTGTGTGTGTGTGTGTGTGTGTGTGTGTGTGTGTGTGTGTGTGTGTGTGTAATCTGTGCTAAACTGAGCTCTCAGACTGCTGAGTGTGGCCACATGGTTTTACACACACGCTAAATCTTCTGAAAACTCTCAGCAGGTCCTCCTGCGGTCAGTAATGTAGTTTAAGTGTTTGCTGCTCACCTGCTGAGTTTCAGCTGGACACACAGACATCAAAACATCTCGCATCTAAATGTTCATGTATTCTGCTGATCAGTCACACTGCACTCCTCCACACTCATACACTGCATTTCTAAAGCGCTACAGTAATCTGCACTCCTTGTTTTTTTGGTTATGCTACAGCCATTTCCTATGTTTGTGCTAGACCTATTCCTATGGTTACACTACACCTATTCCCATGGTTACACTACACCTATTCCCATGGTTACACTACACCTATTCCCATGGTTAGGCCACACCAGATCCCATCGGTATGCTACACCTATTCCCATTGTTAGGCCACACCAGGTCCCATCGGTATGCTACACCTATTCCCATAGTTTCTCTAGACCTCTTCCCATTGTTAGGCTACACTCATTCCTATGGTTACATTACACCTATTCCCATTGTTAGGCTACACTTATTCCTATGGTTACATTACACCTATTCCCATTGTTAGGCTACACTTATTCCTATGGTTACATTACACCTATTCCCATTGTTAGGCTACACCAGTTCCCATGGGTATGCTACACCTATTCCCATAGTTTCTCTCGACCTCTTCCCAGTGTTAGGTTACACCTATTCCCATAGTTACATTACACTTGTTTCCATTGATAGGCTATGCCCTTTCCCATGGTTACATTACACCTATTCCCATTGTTAGGCTACACCTATTCCCATCATTACTGTGCACCAATTTCCATGGTTACTCTACACCTATTCCCATTGTCACTGTATACTTATTCCCATTCCCATTGTTACATTACACCTATTCCCATTGTTAGGCGACACCTATTCCCATGGTTACATTACACCTATTCCCATCATTACTGTGCACCAATTTCCATGGTTACTCTACACCTATTCCCATTGTCACTGTATACCTATTCCCATTCCCATTGTTACATTACACCTATTCCCATTGTTAGGCTACACCAGTTGCCATTGTTGTGCTACACCTACTCCCATGGTTACTTTACACAATATTGATGCATTCATGATTACAGTAACCCCCCTCTCTCACTCACAGGGGGCAGCAGAGAGGTGGTCCTGCCCTCTGCAGGTGTCCCAGGGTCCATCACACAGAGTGTGTCAGATTAAGATTAAGCAAAGCCCTGTGTTGATGATATTGGTCGGGGGGGGTAGGAATAGGTGTACGGAATAGGTGTAATGTAACCATAGGAATAAGTGTAGCCTAACAATGGGAAGATGCACTGGACCATCTGATGAAGCCTAACGCTGCTATCTGAGCAGCTGTGTTGCTCCTGTTTACTTGTGTTGGGTGAGGATTAGACTGTCTGTGGTCTGCAGAGGGAATCTTGCTGACGGAAACGAATGGCACCGATACAGTGAGTAAGGGGGCGGAGCCTCACGCAGCATACAAATACGGCCTCTCGCACCCACCTGCACTCACACCTTCCTACCTGACCAGCGTCTGGACACCCAGGTGAGTCTGTTTTGTGGAGCCTTGAGAACATTTGCGTATAGACGGTCCTCACCACCTCGTAAAGTCACGTCCCCGAATCGTAATTATCAGTTGTTTGTGTTCCGGGTGGTAACTAGGGCTGAGCATCGTTTAAAAGTTTTCTGGACCTAGATTTCAATACCATATCAATCATTTTATTAATTATGTACTGAAAATGGGTGTGGCTTAAATATGTACACTTTTACTCAGACTTGCAATTCATTTGTGTTACAGAGATATGCTATTATAGTGTTAGGAGTCTAGCCCAGGGACTCTTACTGGTGTAGCAGATAGCAGCAAAGCAGTGTTATCCACAGTACAACAGCGATACATATATATATATATATATATATATATATATATATATATATATATATATATATATATATATATATATATCGCTGTTGTCGGAAGAAAACCTTGTATCTCCATTTTTTTTAATTTTTCAGTTTTTGACAGAATTTGAAAATGCCTGTTGCTCTTTACGTTGTTTGTAAATTTCATGATGAATGGACCAAAAGAAATGGCCCAAAAATACTTGGAAAAAATTCTGGTTCCATTGACTTTCATTAAAAGTAAAGTAGGTTTTTTCCTTCTCCTGTAAAGTTACCATTTTGGAGATACAAGGTTTTGTTATATAATCATCCAAAGCTTTAAGTTGGTATATTTATTTACATGAAGGTAAGATGCATATCATTGCTGTTGGAACAAAACATTGTATCTCCATTTTGGTCGATTTTTATTTTTTAAAATTTGGCAAGTATCAGCTGCTCTTTGCATTGCGTGGAAATAGGTGTAATGTAACCAGACTCACCTGTGTTTCATGACAAACAAACAAACAGCTTACAAAAATGCTTATTGGCTCATATTGGGTTTTGAAATTTGGTTCTTAATGGTGTGAAATTTTTGATATTTATATTTAAGTAATTTGTTGGTAGCATAAAAGTATTATGATACACACACCTATCGATAACTGGTAAAATTATCACCTGAACTAGACTTTTATCCTCATAAAAGTCCTCATCCTTATATCTACAGCCACTGGAGCACAAACTCGGAAATAAGCGATAAGGAAATGCCAGCATGCGCCCCCTGCTGGCAGTGCTGAGAACTGAACAAATTATCTTAACCATACTTTTCATGTATTTACCTAAAGTAGTCTTTAATACTGTGACAGCTGAAGTTAAATTATAGTGGAACATATATAACTGATTATACATATACAGCCATTTATATACGTATATAAATATAGCTGTTTATGCACCGTGTGAGTGTGTTATGTGTTTGTACGGTGATAATACAGTAGATTAGGATTAAGGAGCATCACTGCTGGAACTGCTGATGAGGAGGAAACAGAGATAACCCTATGCGCTAATAGTGCGCTAATGCAGCGCTGTACAGAAGATTTAGTGCCCCTGAGAAAGTTATATTTAATGCTGTTTATCTGGGCAGTGAGTGTTTATTCACTCGGAATATCCGAATAAAGCAAAAGAAACATTGATACAAATCAGTCTAAGCATTTATACAAGTATTTATAGTATATATAGTGTAGTGTTTATTTAATATCTGTTTTGACAAAATAACAATAATAAAATAACAAATAATAAAAAAATAAAAATCAGGTGCTGCTGGTGAAACTGTACAAATCAGTGCATATCTTTCTCACATATCTAATATATATCATTATAAGATTGTTGTAAGAATATTGTAAGATTATTTGACCTATTTATAGACACTTGTACTTGTTTTAAGACATTTTATCTCATGAAAGTGTCTAATTTCATTGGCAGATACTAGTTTTGAGAAATAATGATAATGTAGAAGAGTGTAGACATGGGAGACAGTATTCTTAAAACAATCGTATAATGAGAAAAACTGCATTTCGCTGCTGTCGGAACAAAACCTCATATCACCAAAATGGTAACTTTACAGGAGAAGGCAAAAACCTACTTTACTTTTAATGTAAGCCAATGGAACCAGACATGTTTTCAAGCCGTTATGGGTCATTTCTTTTGGTCCGTTCATCGTGAAATTTACACACAATGTAAAGAGCAACAGGTATTTTTAGATAATGTCAAAAACTGAAAAACGACAAAAATGGAGACACAAGGTTTTTATGAGGACAGCAGTGATATATTGGCTAACCGGCTCACTACGCAGCAAAGAACTGAGCCAAAAATGCCACATTCTGCTCACGTTCTACTGTATTGGTGTCTGTTCTGGTGTTAAATAGTTGTTTTATAACCAAAAGCACATTTACTGCCCGTGAAAATAAAGGTATCAGTAACTTTACTGGAAACATTACATTTGGAATCACTAGCTTTTGTTTAGAGTGACTTACAAACGTGTTTTATTGTCAACTTATAAAAATATCCTTAAGGATTAACCGGCTACAGTCCGAAGAGTCAGTGCTGAGACTACAGTACCACTCAGACTCACTGTTTTCATTAAGATTAAACTAACTGTTGAAGATAAGTGTGTGATGCTGTTATGATGATAGCCTTACTTTATAGGCTTCAACATGTAGCTGTAAATTACAATGAAGAAATGCTATATAATGATGAACAGAGCTGATAGAACATCAAGAGGGAAGTTTGAAAAAAAAATAATAATAATAATAATAATAAAAATAATCCCTCATATTTCAAAAGTGGTAATGAAATCTTACAATTAAAGAATAACACGATGTATATTTTAATAATAATTGACTTCTTGGTGTTGAAATATTGAATAAAACATCTTGAAATACATTCTAGATTCTAGTATTTCAATCTACACCGTATAAATTATTACTGAATGAAATATTATTGATATAACAAGCGATTCCATTCTTTTGAACTGTAGTGTACATTCTTAAAAGAGGTGGTTCTTCAAGCTTTCTTTAGTAAAGACCGTGGTGCTAAACAGAAACATGATCACTCAAAGAACCCTCTGCATGCTTACATGGTTCTTTGCATGGTGAGTTGGGTCTTCAGATTGATGGGGAATGTGTTGTAGATGGTTCTATATAGCACCAAAAAGGGTTCTTCTGCTGTTACAAGCTTGGCATCATAAACAGCAGCAGAACCTTTTTTGGTGCTACAGAGAACCAAAAGTAGTTCTTCTGTGGCATCACGCAAAGAACGCTTTTTTTATATTTTAGAAATTTGTATCTTTAAATCTTTAAGGGTTCTTAAGTAAAAAACCATCCCAACACTCAAAGAACCATTTGCGTGATGTAATGGTTTTTGCATTCTTCAGACTGATGAACATTTTTGAAAAGGGTTCTATATAGCACCAAAAAAAGGTTCTGGTGATGCCAAGCTTGTATCAGCAGGAGAGCCCTTTTTTGGTGGTATATAGAACCATATGACTCATGAAGAACCTATACATTGTAACTTCACACTTACACATCTCATTTACAAATATGGTTCTTTAGGGAACCAAAATGGTTCTTCTATGGCATCACGCAAAGAACCCTTTATTTTTTTAGGACTGCATGATACAAAGACAGGACAAAGAGATTTTAATAAATCCAAGAACATCTTGTTGTTCTTTACTGTGCCAATGTTTATTTGTGTTTGTTGACGTTTAGTTTGTGTTTGTTGTCATTTAGATTCAGTTCTAAGTCATTTTCTTGGCTGAAACTCTGACTGTGTCTCTGCTGGACACCCTGACCGTTTGTTTGTTTGTTTACTTATTTGTTTACTGCAGGTGACATCATGAGTCCCAAACACGTCATTTATAAGAAGCTCTCCCGCGACAAATCCGTAAGCATGCAATTCCCTCACTCTGTCCATCCTATTACTCTCCATCTCCGCTCTGTGATACGATTTGTATTTGTTTCACTTTATTGTGTTTCATCAATAAATCATTAAAAACATAATTATGTGTGATGTCACAGGTGGGCGTTTACATGGGAAGGCGGGACTTTGTGGATCACTGTGACTTTGTTGATCCTGTTGGTAAGATCACCCAACAATAACAGTAGCAACTTACCTTGAGTTGGAAGTCCCTAACAACTGCTTTACTATAGCCACTTTTCCACTACATGGTCCAACTTGACTCAACTCAACTCGCTTTTTTTGGTTCTCGATCAGGCAAACCTGGTACCAGGTACTATTTATCACCTTCCAAGGTTCAGAGCAAGCTGAGCTGATACCAAAAGATGACTGCAGACCACTGATTGGCCGGAGAGAATCTCCATCACCCTAAACACATATGCTAATGTTAGCTACCAGGTTAGCTTAGCCTCTTGCATCCCAAACTCTCCTGTTTTTTTCTTGCTACCATCAGCCTCTTCTGAACAACATCTGTCTCCCTCACATCACACCAGTTTCATGTTGCGTTGCTATGATAACCGGCCACATTGAGGGGGCGCTATATCAGCAGTGCAAAACAAACCAAAAGCGAGTAGACTCGAGCCAACTTGAGCTGCAGTGAGAAAGCGACGTGTCTCTCAATCTCTGTGTTTATTTTTTGTGAACATACGTGTCTGTTTGTGTTTGTGGTTCAGATGGTGTTGTGTTGCTCGATCCGGAGCAAACGAAAGGAAAGAAAGGTGAGAAAGATGTTCATGAAACACCTCAGAGTAGTAGCGGTGATGCAGAGCTAGCTCCTCTTTCTCAGACTAACTGTGTCTTTGTATGTGCATCCCAGTTTATATCATGCTGTCGTGTACGTTCCGTTATGGGCGGGATGACATGGACGTGCTGGGGATGGCATTCCGGAGAGACATTTTCTTGTGCACACGACAAGTTTACCCCCCACTGCAGGACCGAGATCGCTCCATCCACACCAAAATTCAAGAGAGACTCCTGCGCAAACTAGGAAACAATGCCTACCCATTCTTCTTTGAGGTGACTGGGTCCTATGGTTTCCTCTATACATCTATGGGAGGCATCGGTTCTATAGTTTCCTCTGGACAGCTGTGGGAATCCTGGGTTCTGCTGTTTCCTCCTGGCAACTGTAGGAATCCTAAGTTGTGTAGTTTCCTCAGAGGAACTGTGAAGCTTGGGTACTGTAGTTTCCTCTGGGCAACTGGACAAATCCTGGGTTCTTTAGTTTCCTCTGGGCAAATCTAGGAAGCCAGGGTTCTGTAGCTTTCTCCTGGCAAATGTAGGAAGCCTAGGTTCTGCAGTTTCCTCTGGGCAAATGTAGGAAGCCAGGGTTCTGAAGTTTCCTTTGGGCAACTGAAGGAAGGCTGGACTCTGTAGTTTCATCTGGACAGCTGTAGGAATCCTAGATTCTGTAGTGTCTTCTGGAGAATGGTAGGAATCATAGTTTCTGTTGTTTACTCTTGGTATCTTTAGGAATTCTGGGTTCTGTAGTCTCCTTTGGGCAACTGTAGAAGGTCTGAGTTCTGTGTTTTCTTCTGGGTATCTGTAGAATTCTTGATTTCTGTAGTTTTCTCTATGAAACTTTAGGAATCTTGCATTCTGTAGTGTTCTATGGATAACTGTATGAATCCTGGCATCTGTAGTTTCCTCTGGGTAATTGCAGGAATCCTAGATTGGGCCATTCAGTGTAACTTTTTAAATGAAATTCTGAGTCCTGTATTTCAGGTGTGTACTTTCCTCTAGGCAACTAATCCTGCAAGATTCCTCTGGCCTTGTTGCTTAAATTTTAGAAATCAAATGCCCAATAGTGTCTTCTGTCACTTGGACTTTTGTAATCCTGGATCCTTTAGTGTCCGCTGAGCTCTTCTTTAGCTCTCTTTGGACTTTATCCCAGATCGTCCTGGGTGCTATTGTTTCCTCTTGGACTTTAGTAGTCCTGTGTCCTGTAGCTTTCTTTTAACTCTAGCAATCCTTGGTCTTGTAGTTTCCTTTGGACCTCCTGGGTCCTTTAACTTGTCTTCGACTTAACTTTTATGAGTCCTGTAGTTTTGTTTGAACTTCAGTAATCATGAGTCCTGCAATTTCCTGAACTGTGTTTTGTGGGCTTTAGTTTCCAGATAACCTGCCATGCTCTGTGGCTCTGCACCCAGCACCCACTGATGTTGGAAAGGTAAACATCAACCACGCACCTTCTTCATTACAATAACTCATTTATCACTGTGGTAGGAAAGGTAAAAAACAACATCACCCAACTCCTCTACATAATAATTTACCACTACTTCCTACTGACAGCACTCACACACATGGTTTACATTTTACTACGGTTTAAGTAACTAGTCCAGAATAAATAAAATAATAGTTACAACAGTTGTGTGTGTGTGTGTCTGTGTGTGTTTGCCTGTATTTGTGTAGCATTGTGCCGTGGAGTTCGAGGTGAAGGCGTTCTGTGCTGACAATCAGGATGAGAAGGCTCAGAAAAGGTAAGAGATCCAGTTGTGGTTGATCTTCACAAAATCAGTTTTTGTAAGACAAATCTGGTAATCTCCCTCTCTGTCTCTGTCTCTGTGTCTCTCTCTCTCCCTCTCTGTCTCTGTCTCTGTCTCTCTCTCTCTCTCTCTCTCTCTCTCTCTCTCTCTTTCTCTCTGTAGGAGCACAGTGCGTTTGGCCATAAGGAAGGTTCAGTATGCTCCTGAAAAAGGGGGTCCAGCTCCCTTGAATGAGACCACCTGTGAGTTTATGATGTCAGACAAGCCTCTACACATGTCTGTCTCTCTGGATAAGGAGGTGAGACTTTGTTCAAGTGGTACTGGTCCTTATGCTGCCACGGCATATAGATTTTTGGTGGATGAAACTTAATAGCTTAATAGCTTTTTTGTTTTTCTTGGATTTTTCCCAATTTAGTTGTCTCCAATTCCACCCACTAATTAGGACTCCCCCAATCACATGATACCACCAGTGCTAGGAGGGTCCACAGGCTTCCTCCGAGTCCCATGAAGCCCCACCGCATCTTTTTGAACGCTCAATGCCAGATCTGTTATGTCAGCTAGCAGACACTTGTGCTAACTAGCATCGCGTTAAGTGGTGAGGAGAAGGGCCCACCTGGAGAGAGCGAGGCCAACTGTTTTCTCTTGGACGCCCGGCCACTGTAGCATCACCAGGGGCCGAACTCGCAATCTCCTGATAATAGGGCCAACGCTTAGACGGTTGCACCACTCAGCAGCCACTGCGAACCATAGCTTTTAGATTTAGGCCTTTGGTTTGAGTCACAAATGTGAAACCTTTCTGCTAGCTCCTCTAAGGGGTTTCTAATAGTATGTTAGCAGCTGAGGATAACTATTTTGGCCGTTCTAGATTCGAAAAAGACATTCTGGTAGAAGATATCTCGTATTTTTTATTTGAAGCTTGTAACAGATATTAACATAAATCGTACCTTGTTCGTAGGAAGTCCGTTCAAAATATGAGATTTTATCTTTGACCTTCATGGTTTCTCAGAACATCCACCAAAAGCTACAGTTGAAGATCTTGGTGTAACACTGGAGGCTTGTTCATTATTTGAGTCCCAGATCAGTAATATCTCTAAAGCCCTATTGGAGCTGGATTAGGTTTAGATAAGATGGACATGTTATTGTTGTTTATATCACAGAAGGCTTTTGAGACACAAGCTGTCTTACAAAAAGACCCACAGTCCTGACTCAACACAGCACAGTCAGTCACACGCTGTGGAACTCTGTCCCTCTCTCTCTCTGTTCTTTAGACGTATTATCACGGGGAACCTATTAACGTCAGTGTGGACATCGATAACAGCTCCAGCAAAGACATGAAGAACATCACAGTCTCAGGTACCTGACGAACGATCGCCAAGGGAGCTGCGGAAGTAGACTGTTCTGCTTGTGTCTGTTTACGTTCGGTTAATGTCTCTCTCTCTCTCTCTCTCTCTCTCTCTCTCTCTCTCTCCCTCTCAGTGGAGCAGGTCACTAACGTGGTGTTGTACTCCAACGATAAGTACGTTAAATCTGTGGCATGTGAGGAAACTTCGTAAGTAGCACACACACAAACACTACTAGGCCTTGTTCAGACTGCTGGCCCAAATCAGATTTCTGTCATATCCCGATTGTATCCAGATTGATTTTTGGTAGTCTAGACAGCCAAATCGGATCCAAACCACATTTGGAGGTGGTTTGAAATGCGACTCCAGTCAGACTTTTACAGATGCGTCTCAGTCTGACGCTCTGGACGCTCAAACTGAAGTGCTAGGATTCAAGAAGAGCTCCAAAGATTCATGATTATGAAGAGAGTTCTGAAGAGTTCGGAGGGGAGACGATGCTCCTCCATCTCTCCTGCATCCGCGCTTGAAATCCGCATCACCAGCGTAGCTACGTAGTTACTGACGCCTATGTTGTTACCACGGCAACCCATGCAGATAGACTGGTGATGTCTGGACACACACACCTGATCTGATCACTTGCAAATAACAAATAACGGACAGTTGCTTCAAAGGTCTGATTTGACAAACAAATCAGATTTGCCTGCAATCTGAACACAGCCGTACACACTCACAGCACTCTGTATTAAAAGTTCAACAGTTAATGTTTTTACTGAATACGTTTACATGCACTCAATAATACGATCATAATCGGATTTCTGCAGTTATCTGATTATTCAGACGGTCATGTAAACGGCACACCATATCTTAGAACGGAGTAAGGTCTGGAAATCCGAATAAGAAATCCAATAAAGAGGCTGGATTTTAGCTCAGTAATCAGATTTCTCAGTGCTGTAAACTCTTACTCTGATTTCTTTCGTTTCTCTCAGTCTGAGCATGTGTGAAAACAGACGGCGGTACCAGAAATAAACGAGCAGCGTCACCGCGAGACATAGCAAAACACTTTTGGAGTGACACTGAACCACATGCATACTTGACGAAATTAAGAATTTAAATATTATTAATCTTCTAGATGATGTATGTTCGTATTTTCAGGTAAAGTGGCGAATTAACTGCAGTATGAAGTTTGTGTTTTATGTTACTTTTACGTCACATCTGATTCTGTCAGTTTATTGGCTGGTTGCCAAGCATAAATCTGATTACTGTTTGACTCTGTAGACCCAGAGTTTCCACATTATCTGATAACTCAAGTGCATGTAAACGTGCTGATCGTATTACAGACCAAATCTGATTTTCTGCAGCTATTAGGACTATTAAATGCATGTAAACACACTCACTGTGTTACTGGTGCAAATAGCTTGGATGTGAATGTTCAACATGATGAAGAATAACTGTTGATCCTGAACGGACTCGATTAGAAAACTTTGCCTGCCTGTGTTTATACCTACCTCCTGTCAGTCTGGTATAGACACGCCCCTTCACTCCGCCCCCATCAAACAAACACATCGGAATGCAGCGATAAGCACCACCAGATACTTCCACTGAGGACTAAACCCACCTCGGTTTTTAATGTCAGATGACTGCAGCTACTGATGTTTGCTAGCTTGTTAGCTATGTTTGGCTAACTCCCGCATATATGGTTGGCTAAAACAAGCTGTAGCCAATAAGACTAATGCGTGTGATCCTGAAACAATGACAACTTATTGTCACTTACTGTATTGTAACTTATTAATTTCTCCCAAGGAAGAATTCATTCAACATTGAATGTTAGGAAAAATGGAAATTTGACGGAACGTTTCATTGACCGCTTTGGTATCACTTAGCTAGCTATGCCGCTAGCATGGCTGGTCTCCAGCGAAACCAGCATATCACTGTTGATGGATCAAAACCACGTATCTCCAAAATGGTAACTTTACAGGAGAAGGAAAAAACCCACTTTACTTTTAATGTAAGTCAATGGAGCCAGACTTTTTTCCAAGTAATTCTGGGTAATTTCTGTTGGTCTTTTCATTGTGAAATTTACACACAACATATAGGACCAGGGTTATTTTCAAATTATGTCAAAAACTGAAAAACGACAAAAATGGAGATACAAGATTTTGTTCCCACAGCAGCGCTGTGTTGTGTTTTGATGCTGGTGTTATGGTCAACCAGCATGACCGTATTCGGTGTAACAACATTAAATGCTTTTTTTGTGCTGGAATGTTTATTATATTCAAATTCATTTGGTAGATGTTCTCCAGGAGTCTTGTAATTGGTATAACATTGTACACCTGCCTGAGCTGGGAATCGAACCCCAGTCTTGTGTGTGGAGGGCAGCAGCACCAGGTGACACTGGCTGATGTTGATTGACTGTTAAATAAATAGTGTTTGTGCATCATGAGCTGATTGAAAAGTGATCGTAGAACGAGGGAAGGACTCTCCGATAAACCTAGCCAAACAGCCGTACTAGCGAATGCAGCTTATATGATGCTGGCTACTGTTGTTGTTGCCGTAGCGACTCTGTGCCATCTGGGACCAGCCTGAAGAAAGTTTACACCCTCTACCCCCAACTGGACAGTAGCCGTGAGAGTCGTGGCCTGGCTCTGGATGGAAAACTGAAGCATGAGGACACCAACCTGGCCTCCTCCACCATGTGAGGTCACGCCGCACTGCACTATGGGAGATGGAGTTCACACAGCGAGGGGAGTGTAGTAACCATGAGTGTGTGTGTTTGTGTGTGTGTTCAGAGTGAAGGACGAGGTGCTGAAGGAGGTTCTGGGGATGCTGGTGGCCTACAGAGTGGTGGTCCGAGGTACTGCAGCCGGGTGAGTGTTTGTGTCTGATTTTGGTTATTATTACATAAACCTATTAATATATATGTATATACACTGAAAAATTATGGTTCTTCAAGGGTTCTATAACCATGAACAGACAAAGAACCCTTTGCATGATTAAAGGGATGGTTCTATATACAACCTTTTTGAAAAGGGCTCTATATAGCACCAAAAAGGGTTCTTTTATTGTAACACACTTGACATCATAACAATAGAAGAACCCAGTTTGGTGCTACATAGAACCCTTTTGAAAAAGGTTCTAATATAGAAACATATACAAGACATTCTCCATCAGTCTAAAGAACCATTTCATGATGCAAAGAACCCTTTAATCATGCAAAGGATTCTTTGAGTGTTCATAGTTCTATACAGAACCATTTTCTTTACTAAAGAACCCTTGAAGAGCCATCATTTTCAGTGTGTAGGTACGTTTGGTTGAGGTTGATGATGCTGACAGGTTCTTCTCTGTGTTTGCTTTAACAGTTTGATCGGTTCCAGGTAGGTGTGGATCTTATTTGTACACGATGATATGAAGTTTGAACTGCTGTGTTCATGTGTAACCTGTGTGTGTCTGTGTGTTAGTGAGGTCGCTGTTGAAGTGCCGTTCCTGCTCATGCACCCTAAACCTGCTGCAGGTGGGCTTTTCTTCTGACTGTCAGGGGGAAATTATGAATGAATTGATGTACTTTTATATACTTGAGTGTGTTTGAATGTAGACACTATTTCACTTTCACTCTAGTCCAGCTTTTGACTCCATACTTGCCCTTTTTCTGAGTTTGATCAGCTTTTTAAGAGGAAAACTGACTGAAATGTCTGTTTTTTCCTTTTCCCTCCTCTGAAATTCCACAGTTAAAGAGAGGTAAGCAGCTCTATTCTTACACTCAATTCACAGTTCTTACATTCAATTAAACTGCGTTTCTCATCTGATTTCCAGTCATAAACATCCACAGCCTTTTCAACAAGGTTCTGTACAGAACCATCTACAGCACATTCTCCATCAATCTGAAGATCCATTTCTCCATGCGAAGACTCCTTTATTAATGGTTCTATACATAGCTATTATCTTTACTAAACCCTTGAAGAACCATTGATGAACCAAGAGCACAGTTTGCTACTATGTATATAAAAATACTCTCTCTCTCTCTCTCTCTCTCTCTATATATATATATATATATATATATATATATGTATATGTATATATATCTCCTTTATGAAAATGGTTCTATATAGCACCGATAAAGATTCCAATGTTGTTACTACACACTTAAAAAAGACTGCTCTTTAAGTGTTATTTACTAAAGAAAATGGGTCTACATAGAACCATGAACACTTGAAAAACCCTTTGCATGATTAAATGGATCTTCGCATCATGAAATGGTTCTGGAGAATGTCTTGTGTATGGTTCTATATAGAACCTTTCTGAAAATGGTTCTATATAGCACCAAAAATGCACCAAGCTTGTAAGAATAGAATAACCGTTTTTGGGACTATATAAAAGCCTTGTCAAATAGGTTCTATATAGAACCATTCTCTTTACTAAAGAACCCTCAGATAACCCTCTGTGTGTAATAACAATATTAGAACCCTTTTTGGTGCTATATAGAACCTTCAAATCAAGAAAGGTTCTACACAGACACATTTCTTTACTACAGAGCCCTTGACGAACCATCTTTTTAAAGTGTGTAGTAATAATATTAAAACACTTTTTGGTGCTACGTAGAACCGTTACCGAAAAGGTTTTGTTTACTAAGGGACCCTTCAAGAACCATCTTTTTTAAGAGAGTAAATATCAGCACAATAAAACAAGTATAATAATTTATCTGTGAATAGAAACTGAAGTTCTCTGCTTGTTTACTCTGGGGGTCTCAGCTGTAACAGTACGTTAAACTAACCCCGCCATGTGGAGGCTGTACTTTATATATATATATATATATATATATATATATATATGTATAAATTATTATTTGCTCATTACTTCCTTGTAGTGACGGAGATGATGACATGGTCTTTGAGGAGTTCAAGCGTTCCTACCTCAAGGGTGTCATTGGTGATGATGACGAATCTCCGGCGGAACCCTGAGACGGGTTGCCATGGAAACGCACAGCGCTCATCTCTCGTTGAGGAATGGTTATAGACGCTTGTACGTGTTCATAGGTGTACATACTGTAAAGGCTGGGCTTATGGACTAGTGTTTATACACTCATTGGCCACTTTATTAGAAACACCCACCTTGCGCTTACTCAAACTGGCCACTTTATTAGAAACACCCACCTTGTGCTTCCACTAACTGGCCATTTTATTTGAAACACCTACCTTGTGCATGCACTAACTGGCCACTTTATTAGAAACACCTACCTTGTGCATGCACTAACTGGCCACTTTATTAGAAACACCTACTTTTTACTTCCATTAACTGGCCACTGTATTAGAAACACCCACCTTGTGCTTCCACTAACTGGCCATATTATTAGAAACACCCACCTTGTGCTCCCACTAACTGGCCATTTTATTAGAAAAACCCACCTTGTGCTTCCACTCACTGGCCATTTTATTTGAAACACCCTCCTTGTGCTTCTACTAACTGGCCACTTTATTAGAAACACCTAGCTTGTGCATGCACTAAATGGCCACTTTATTAGAAACACATACTTTGTACTACTAACTGGCCATTGCATTAGAAACACCAGCAAGGTGGAGGTACAAGGTAGGGGTTTCTGCTAAAGTGGCCAGGGAATATATATATATATGTGTATATACTGTAAGGGTCATCTTATGGGCTAGAGGGAAGTATGGAAATTATGGGTGTGGGTAAAATTGTGGGTGTGGAGAGCAGGAGATCTAAGTGTGTTTAGGTGCTGTAAAGGTGAGTCGGGGTTGTGCAGGTGCGTTAAAGGAACGTTAGCTGTATGCAGATGCTGTAGAGGTGTGTTAGGCATATGTTTGGGTCAGTTAAACTGGGGGGGCTTCGACTCATGCAGGTGGAGAGATGCATGATTTTGTCTTTATTCTCTGTTTGCTGTAGGATTGTGTTGGTTAAGCAAAGAATAAAAGTCATTTTTAACAAAAAATATTCTGTCTGTCATTATTGCAGAAGATAAAGGGATTATTATTGCAATGAATAGCAAAATATTAATATTATGGAGTATTTCACACAAATGGATTTGCATGAAATAAATCCAACGAAATATCTATTATTCAAACAAAATTTCAAATCTGTATTCCAATTTTTTAGTTATGAATTTTTAATGCTACATTAGATTCTAAATCACATCTGAAATATTAAATTTAACTGTTTATGGAATTACTGGCCAAAGACAAAATATTAATTAACAAATACATTACAAAACAAATAACAATATTTCACTTCTAATCAATTTAAATGATCTTAAGAATTTCACAATGCAGGGTCAATATGCTGTTTTATAACAGAGCAGTGAATTGAATTTGAAATTTTATCTTTCAGTTAAAATAATTTTGCAAAATTTTCTTTTTATGTGGTAAAATCTTCATATATAAAAATATTAAAACACTTAATAGAAAAGTACAAGATTTCCCAATTAACCTTTACAATGCTCCAGCAATTCTATGCTTTTTGAGATGTAATATTTTATGTTTGAAGGTGAACATTTAGAGAAAATATGAGATGTAAATAGATTTTTCTTAGTTTTGTCACTCGGTTAGCTTCACGTGTTGCATAAAGATATTAATAATTTAAAGATTTGATGAAAGCATATTTTATAAAAATAAATAAGTATATAATATAAAATAATCTAAATAAGAACCTTTTTAAAAAGCGTTCTTTATAGCACCAAAAAGGGTTCTGATATTGTGATGATGTTAAGCTTGTAACAATAGAAGAACCAATTTTTTTTAAAAAAGGTTTTATATAGAACCATTTTCTTTACACCCTTGAAGAACCATCTTTTTAGGTGTGTAGTAACAATATTAGAACCCTTTTTTGTGCTATACAAAAACCTTTTCAGAAACGTTCTATATAGAACGTTTTTTTTTTTACTAAAGAACCCTTGAAGAACTGTATTTTTGAAGTGTACAGTAACAACATTAGAACCCTTTTTGGTACATGTTGCATAAAGATATTAATAATTTAAAGATTTGACAGAAGTGTAGAATAAATTTGAAAAATGTAAATTTTCACATATAAATTTCAATAAATTAAGCTCCAACTACAAAATTTAAAACAAAACCAGTTAAACTCAATATTTAAAGATCTGATTTAGAACCTGATGGTGCAACATTTAAAAATTCATAACTAAAAACTAACTGCAGCTCAATTTCAGAGTTTGCACAGCTGTCAGCTTGAAACTGAAATGTGACCCCAGTTCACTTAGCGACTGTAAATGAATCTGATTTTATCAGTGTTTTAGTTCTTGTATTTCACTGTAATCAACACTTGAGTTTGGAGCTCATATTCAGCCCTCAGTGTGTGTTTACCTTAACAGTGTGGAATCACTTGAGTTAGAAATAATTTGTAATATTTTTATATAAACTCTAAAAGTGATGGTTCTCCAAGGATTTAGTAAAGAAAATAGTTCTATATAGAACCATGAACACTCAATAACACTTTGCATGATTTAAGGGTTCTTTACATCATTAAATGGTTCTTCAGAATGTGTTATAGATGGTTCTATATAGAATCTTTTTGAAAAGCACCAAAAAGGGTTCTTCTATTGTTATGACATCAAGCTTTTAATAATAGTAAAACACTTTTATAACGGGTTCTATACAGAACTATCTAGACCACATTCTCCATCAATCTGAAGAACCGTGTCACCATGCAAAGAAGATATAGGACCGTTTTCTTCTGAAGAAACCTTGAAGAACCATATGTTTGTGTAATAAAACATAACAATATACCCTTTAATAATTTTATATTTTAAGGATTTTGATTGTAAATTCTTTACTATATTATATATTTGCAGTATTTTTATGAAGTTATCTACCTCAAGATTTGTTCAGCACTACAAATGTGAAGAATTCTAGATATTACATTTATTACACTGCAATTATTTAATAATAGTAATAATAGTATTAGATCTTCATTTTTGATATTAATTTTAAACAAATTTTAATTTGGATATACTTTTTATTAGAACTTTATTTGAAAAGTAATTATATTAGAACTTCAGTCTGTATCTTATTTTTTATTAGAACCGAATTTTGAATATTAACTTTATTACAAAACAGTGATTCCAAACTTTTAAGTACAAGTTATTCATTTTTCAGCAGAAATAAAAGCAGAAAACATATTTTACCCTGAGGCCTCAGCAGCGAAATCTACTCTCAGCTGTGTTCAGTCAGAGAGTCTCTCTTTCCCTTTATTCCAGCTTCCGTTCTTTTCAGGAGGCTCACTTTCAGTTCTTCAAAGAATCTGCAGACACACCTCCAAAGTTCAGTCTTAGAAGCTGGTTGATGATTTTCTGAAGTAATCAAACACATTCAGCGATGTTGAGGTCTGGACTCTGGGGTGGTCAGTCCATTGTTCAGCTTCTTTGTTTGATGTGTCCGTCTCCTTTTCTCAGTGAGGTTCTTCTTGATCAGCTACACATCCTTTCAGACCCACAGCGCTGAGTCGTCTTCTCACAGTGGAAGGATGGACAGAAACACCTGTGGATGTTTTCAGATCTGAAGCAGCTTGATTTTCTCCTCTCTCTCAGAGATGAAAGCTTTAAGTGCTGTTTATCTGATTATCTGCAATTTTGGTGGTTACCAGGTCTTCCAGGTGGTTGTTAGGAACCCCATTTTCTCTGTACCGTTTAAGTAGATTGTTTTATATTTAATCTGCTCACAAACATCTCCTGCAAAATCAATACCTTGTACTTAAAGTCTGTTTTGACTGGAAATTAAATAAAGTAAGGCCGATTTCAGAGAGGTACAAGGCTTCACTCGGACACACACACACAATCTGTTTCAGTGAATTTTGGGGACACTACATAGACTTCCATTAATTTCCTGGAGACTTACCCAAGCCTTAAGCAGAACTACTAATAACCTAACCCCAGTGGTGGCCAATAACTAAGTAAATGTAATTTGTTACTGTACTTAAGTAGTTGTTTTGTGTATCTATACTTTACTCAAGTTTTTCCATTTTTGGTGACTTTTTACTTTCACTCCACCACATTTCAAAGTCAGATATCTCACTTTTTACTCCACTACATTATGAGAAATCTGTCGTTCCTTTTGGCTTATGTATGTATAAAAAAACATGTCAAAACGAAAGAACCGCGAAGCAAGAACACCAATCAGGGCACAGAGTGCACTTTGTTTTTCATTTGTTTTTGTTTTTTGATTTCATTTTATAGTAAGTTTGTTTTGGCTAGTTTATGTTTATGAACAGAGACCTACAGATGCAGTTTAGTAAAGGAAAACTTATTGGTGAATCTGTGTTTAAAGCGAGTTTTTGCAAATAAATCTTAAACTGAAACTTTGCTTATTCACAAAAGGTAATTTCAGAGCCACTTGGTTCAACCTAATGGAAATTGTTTGCCTTCAGTGTTTTGCACTGTTTGTCATAATTAATCTTTTAGTACTTTTACTTTTGACACTTATGAAGGCAAATACTTTTGTACTTTTACTCAAGTGGAGATCTAAAGGGAGAGACTTCTGCTTTTACTGGAGTAATATTTTACCTTGGGTATCTCTACTTTAACTCAAGTACATGATTTGTGTACTTCGTCCACCACTGCTTAACCCTAACCTTAACCTTAACCATACTCTCAGCTTAAAATTGAAACACTTACAATGTGGGGGGCAGCTTGGTCCCCGCAAGAAAGAGGTGTCTCCACAACCTGAGTGTATGAAGAGATTTTGGTCCCCACAATGTGGCATAGCCTGGTCCAAACACACACACACACACAAACACACACAAACACACCCCTTCTCATGTATCTCACTGAGTGGTGACACACCCTGACACACACATGCGTGCCCCCCTGGGGGGAGTGCAGATTACACTGATAGTTAACAAACTCCTGTAATAATAGAATCATCAGATAATCTGCCCTCTGATCAGGACAGGAAACACTGCTGAGTGACAATACAGCTCTAATCAGATTACCGCTCACTCAAACAGGACAAAACGAGGACAGAGGGAGTTACTCTCCACATCTCACAACAACGAGAGGGGGAATTCCACCCATTTAACAAATTTCCTCCATAATTGACTGTTTAAAAGTCATTTGGAGTGGTTTGGTGTGAAACGGTTCAGATATCTTTACAGTGGTGGTGATAGGAACCAGGAGTTGCCATGACTACAACACAAATATAGACATTCTATTTACTATCCAGAACCACCAGTGAACCTACACGAGTCTTCTGAGCTTATATGGAATGTTGATGATGGAAAATAGTGGAACATCTGAAATAATTTTTCTTTAGGGACTATTTTATTTTCTGTGAGGGAGCTTTTAGAAGTGGATGTCTGGTTTTTTATCGCCACTACTGTGAGCAATTCTGACTTGGTAAGTTTATGCAGACATTTTGAAAAATGGGTGGAATTCCTCTAAATATAACTGAAGAGCAGAAGGTGAAAAATGACATTGAGTTTGAGCTAAAGCAGACCATCATGTAAAGCTGCTGTTTATTTATTTTCTACTCAACTACAGGAAGAAACTGGTTTAATATCACCATTTAAGATCAAATTTAATTGGATTCATTCCATTCATTGCAATTCCATCACCATCATTACTCAAATGAATTCCTCAGATTTGCAGTAAAACGCTGGCGACGTCATTTCATTTCATTCATTTGACAGAGACTTCAAAATTACTCTAGTGAATTGCATTATAATTAAAAGACATCACACTTTATACTAATGAGTGAAACAATTCAAGAATTTGTCTCATTAGATGATTTAATTGAAAATTTTACATAACTCCACTTGCTGGTACATCAAACTTTTTATAGTTTATCCTTAAACTTGGAAAGAAAATCAGAAAGTTTTTTGTTTGCACACAAAGAGATTAATGTTCAAGAATTTTAATTAAGGTTCAGGTTTAGCATTTAGAATTTAGTGTACAGTTTTTTGGGATTAGCGTTTATAGTGTTTAGTTTTAGGGTTTGGGGTTAAGGGATTAGTTTTTAGAATTTAGTGATTTTAGGGGTTAGTTTTAAGAGCTTAGTGATTAAAGTTGTTTAGTATTTAGTGTTAAGAGATGAGTGCTTAGTGATTAAAGTTTAGGGATTAGTATTTGGGAATTAGTGTTGAGAGATTGGTGCTTAGTGATTAAAATTTAGGGATTAATATTTGGGGATTAGTGTTGAGAGAAGAGTGTTTAGTGATTAAAGTTTAGGGATTAGTATTTGGGGATTAGTGTTGAGAGAAGAGTGTTTAGTGATTAAAGTTTAGGGATTAGTATTTGGGAATTAGTGTTGAGAGATTGGTGCTTAGTGATTAAAATTTAGGGATTAATATTTGGGGATTAGTGTTGAGAGAAGAGTGTTTAGTGATTAAAGTTTAGGGATTAGTATTTGGGAATTAGTGTTGAGAGATTGGTGCTTAGTGATTAAAATTTAGGGATTAATATTTGGGGATTAGTGTTGAGAGAAGAGTGTTTAGTGATTAAAGTTTAGGGATTAGTATTTGGGGATTAGTGTTAAGAGATCAGTGCTTAGTGATTGAAGTTTAGGGTTTCGTGTTTAGGGATTAGTGTTAAGAGATGAGTGCTTAGTGATTACAGTTTATGGGTTAGTAATTGGGCATTAGTGTTAAGAGATTAGTGTTTAGGGATTAAAGGTTGGGGATTAGTATTTGGGGATTAGTGTTGAGAAATTAGTTTTGTGATTAATGTATAGGGTTTAGTGTTTAGGGATTAGTGCTACGTTTAGAGTCTATTGCTTAGAGTTTTCTATGGTGTTTATGGTGTAGGGATTTTGGGATTAGTGTTTATGGATTAGGTTGTGGTAATTACTGTTTAGGGTGTAGAGTGTACGCATTTTTTGGATTAGTCTTCACGTATTAGGATGTGGTGATTAGTGTTTAGAGTTTTGTGTTTTGGTATCATTATTTATTTTTTAGTATTTAGAGATTAGGTCTTAAGACTTTAAGGCCTAATTCCTAAATACTAAACACTAAACTGTGTTGTTGGTCAATGGGTTGGAGTTAAAAGATTTATTTTTATTATTTTTTTTAGTGTTTAAGGTTGAAGGCTGGTTGTGTCAATTTCCCCCCAGCTGTAAACTTCATCTGTCTCTGGCTCTGGTTTGTGGAACTCTCGGCCAAATATCACGTCGCAGCTGTCCGGGTACAGCAGGTATCCGCTGAAGGTACTGCTGGACTCACTGCTCGTGTACAAGCCATTACTGCCGGTGTCACGCACCTGCAGCCACACCCTGTCTCCCTCACTCAGGTGCAGTGTCACCTGCTGAGAGGTGGAGCCCAGCTCGGTCACCTCTGTGCTCTTCACCACAGGCTGGAAGTTCCAGAACAGACCGACCTTGAGAATGCGCCCGAAGGCGACAAGGTGGTAGCTGAAGATGTAGGTGCCATTAACGGGTGCCGTGTAGATACCAGTGGTTGGGTTGTAGTGCTGCTGCAGGTTGTAGATGACCCGCGTGAAGGCCACTGGAAAGTTGGGGGGCGGGAGCACGGTATTCATCGCAGCACAGAAAGCTGATTGGACAGTGGGGCTGCATGGACCAGGAATTCCCATCATTCCCATATCACCCTGATCACCTTTAGGCCCTGTCTCCCCTTGCATCCCTTGAGGTCCAGCCATACCCTCCTCCCCCTTTTCTCCCTTTGACCCCACAGGCCCTGTGTCCCCCTTGGCTCCGTCATGGCAGCTGCAGTTGCCCTCTAAGCCCTGCTCTCCTTTCTGACCAGGAGTACCGGGGATGCCAGGGGTGCCCACAATTCCAGGATCACCCTTCAGACCCCTCGCACCTGGATCGCCATTTAGCCCGGGTATTCCAGGGGGACCTGCAGGGCCTGGCAGACCAGGCTCACCTGGAGGCCCCTGCACACTCTCACAGTTGACTGGGCACTGACCATCCTCTCCCTTCGGACCAGGGTCACCTGCTGGCCCATCCACACCAGGCTCACCCTTATCGCCTGAAACACAGAGACGTGGTTAGAGCGACTGTTGGTGAGAGTTATTGTCTGAAAAATCAGATCAATGTTTCTTGCTTACCTTTTGGTCCAGGTTCTCCCTTGGTGCCCTGGGGTCCCACTACACCTAGATCACCTTTCACTCCCTCTTCACCTTTCTGACCTGTATGTGTGGATTATATTACAGTACTTAAGTAATCAAATCCGTAATCAGCAAGGCCAAACAAAATGTACACACTTTTACTTGCCTCTGGAATATTTTCGCTCTCAGATTGAAATCTAGCTGCCTTTTTGCGGTATGTGAACATTTCATAATGAATGGACCTATAGAAACTTCCCAAAATCCTGTTGCATTAAGTTATCAGTTTCCTGTTGCTCAGTTATCTTGTTGCCAGCTAATGTTTTGTTCTGACAGAGATTCTTCACACATTCTTACATGAATCTATCTTACTGTGTATGTGTTTGTTTGTGAGAATTTTTTTTTATTCTTACCCTTTAACCCCTGACGACCAGTCAACCCCGGTGGGCCGCGGACTCCCATAAGCCCCCTTGGCCCAGAGTGGCCTGGAATTCCTGTTATTAAACCACACACATTAAAGAAAAATCATGCATCAAAATTCAAAACATGAATGTAAAATGTGGCTATGTTCAGCGTCTCTGTGATTGGCTAGAATAAAAATGACCTGAACTTTACTATAACCTAAAATAGCTCTAAAACATGGACTAAAATGTGTTTATGTGTGTGTTTATATACCTGGTAGTCCACGGTCTCCTCGTTCTCCCTTCTGCCCCATGTTGTTGGGGCAGGTTGAGCACATACAGAACCAGGGCACCTGGTCAGCAGGGGGCGGCACTGGAGCCTCCAGAAGCATCTGGCAGTAGGAAAGGTCAGGGATTTGTCCTGGAGTCACTCCAGGGTCAAGTGGCAGGGTGTCAGGGGGCAAAATTGTCGGGGAGAAGCTGCGGTCCTCTGGCATAGACATGCAGCGGACCACCAAAAACCACAGAGCCAAGGGGCTCCACATCTACAGAGAGAGCGTGGAGGGAAAAGACTTAGAGGATTAATATGGTCTTTTTTTATTTGAACCTGAGAACGTTCTCTTGATAATTGAATTCATGAATGAACCCGACTGTATCCCAACAAAATTCTGTCTGAACTTGGCTTTATCCCAATAAGATTCTACGTGAATCTGACTGTATCCTGACCCAATTCCGTCTGAATCCAACTGTATCCCAACAAAATTCTGTCTGAACCGACTGTAGCTGACAAAATTCTATCTGAATGCGACTGTATCCTGACAAAATTGTGTCTGAACTCAACTTTATTCCAACAAAATGCTATGCGAATCTGATTATATCCTGACCAAATTCCGTATGAATCCAATTTTATCCCGACAAAATTCTGTCTGAACCCGACTGTAGCTAAGAAAATTCTGTCTGAATCCAACTGTAGCCAAGAGAATTCTGTTTAATTCTGACTGTCACTGACAAAATTTTGCCTGAAATTAAAATGTCAAAGCTCAAAATGTTAAAACAACACACTCAAACACATCTGTGGACACTGATCAAGAGTGTTACAGATTCAATTAAAATTTAAACAGTTTCATTAAAACTGTACTAAAAAACAGCTAAGCTCATTCAACATCTAATAATACTTTAACAGAACAATAATGTGTCATATATTACTAATTTATTATAAAATGTAGTAAAATCCAAATTTCAAGGAATCCAAGTCAGCTCTGGTCATTTTACTGTGCCCCCGCACTCTCCCATCCCTACTGAAATTCAGAACTGTAAAATTCAACTTTAAAATTGATGATCTGTGGCCACTCACCGTTTTCCACTGATGAAGCATGACTCACACAGACAGAGCTGAGGTTTAGTCAGTGAGTCCCGCAGGGCGCACTTATATACCTGCACACTCACACCTGTAGGGTCCCCTTTGAAGTTTGGTGACCCCATTTGCACTAATGTAGAGCGTGTGTTATGTGTTATGCAGGGAGGAAGCGGTGTAAAAGGAGAGAGGATGTGGTCCTGAGGGATCCACCACCCCCCCCCACACTCACTCAGGGTGACTCCGCCCAGCGACTGACCCTGTTTCCAGCTCCGCTTTTCTTTAGGCTCTTCTTTAAGTTTTTTGTTTATGTTGTTCCTCCGTTGTATGCTGCACCTCTCCCACGCTGCTCCGTTACCCACAATGCCCTGCGGACCTGTGCCCCAAATGCTCCCCTCCGGCTACGGTTACGCCTGCACCGTTCCGGCTTCAATATAGAATGCCAACTGCCTCACCATCAGCAAAATCTCTCTCAACACCTCACGCACAGTAACACAGTACAGTATATGAGTGTTAAATCATTTACAGCCCTGTTTCCAAAAAAGTTGGATCGCTGTGCAGAATGTAAATAAAAATAGAATGCAATGATGTGCAAATCATGCAAATCATATTTTTAAAGGTTAATAATGTTGAAACTGAGAAATTTGATTGTTTTTTGAAAAATATATGCCCATTTTGAATTTGATGCCAACAACACGTTCCAAAATAGTTGGGACGGGGGGCATATTTACCACTGTGTTTCATCACCTCTTCTTTAACAACACTCTGTAAGTGTTTGGGAACTGAGGAGACACTGCTGTAGTTTAGAAAGTGAAATGTTTTCCTGTTCTTGTTTGATATAGGATTTCAGCTGCTCCTCAGTTCAGGGGCTCATTTGTCGTATTTTTTATTTCATAAAGCACCAAATGTTATCAGTGGTGACAGGACTGGACTGCAGGCAGGTCAGTTTAGCACCCGGACTCTTTTAATACGGAGCCATGCTGCTGTAATACATGCAGAATGTGGTTTGTCATTGTCTTTCTGAAATAACCAAGGTCTTCCCTGAAAAAGACGTTGTCTGGATGGCAGCATATGTTGTCAAAACATGTATATATCATTCAGCATTAACGGTGCCTTCACAGATGTTCACGTCACCCATGCCACGTGCACTAATGCCCCCCACACCATCATGAATACTGGCTTTTGAACTGTGCACTGATAACAAGCTGAGTGGTCTTTACCCCGGAAGACACAGTGTCCATGATTTCCAAAAAGTTCAAATGTTGATTCGTCGGACCACAGGACACTTTTCCACTACGCCTCAGTCCGTGAGCCTTTCTCTCATTTCTGGGGTCGACATTTCCGATTTGGGAAGTTCTGTGCAAAATCATTTCCATTTTTGAGTTTTCATTCATTTCCATCTGAAGAACAGCTCAGAAATTAACTAATTAACTAATTTGAAACAGCACGTATGTGTGCAGCGCTCATTTCAACCTGTCGGACATCTATGTTACACCGAAGGGAAAAGCATGGCTGAAAAGGGGTGCAGTACCATGTCGTTTCATTTGGAGTCAACGAGCAAGTATAGCAGAGTGAGGGCCCGCCTCGGAGACTCTGCTAATGAGGAGGAGGGGTGGTGGAGCAGGATATGTCGGGGATAGAGGAGGAAGAACAAGCCAAGGAGGACGCGCATATACGGTGTACATATGAGGCAACCATTACTTACACTATGTGTGAAATGCTGTTATTAAAATATACCTCTAAATTTTCAAAAACAACCACTGTTAATTTCTACACTTTAATTTCTACACGTTTAGCTTTGTGCTACATTTGAACAGTCGTATGTGTTGAGTTTTCATGTTCTCCCCATGTCTGTGTGGGTTTTTGTTATGGACCGAAACCATGGCTTGTGTATGAGACCCTCGAGACTGGCATCAAAGAACTTCTGTGACCCAGGTAATGGCAGGTGGTTACTGGAAAGATGTGTGGCTATATGTGATACATACAGTTTAAACGTAACAGTGAATCAGCTTATAATACAGTAAATCTAATTGCGTAGATTAAAATGGGTTCGTGAACTGCAATGTTGTAACAATGGACTGGTTCAACTCCTTCGAACTTCTTTGAAGTCTTTGGACCTCTAGTCTCTGTGGTTCCTCGCTTTTCTTTAAGAACTGGTAACACCGAGCCCTTACACGGATCTACAACATTATACACTGAGAATGGTATAATTTAACATAATAATTCATGTTAGACATCGTTTATTTACTTCTTAAACAGACACATATTTAAAGATCTCTAAATCTGAGGAATGGTGAAACTACCTAACATTACTCATCCTGTCTGTGACATTAAGTAAGGTAGCTAGCTAGCTAACTACAACACTGGGAACCAGCTAACGATTTACCATCATAATCAAAAATAAACTGCTCAAAAAAGAATTTATATCCTTTATCGAGTTTTGCACATTTGGTGCTCAATAGCTCTCCCACAATTCTGACCACATTGTCCTGCCTAAAGCGTGGGAGTTCAGCCAAAGATGCGAATAATGAAATGCAGCCATATTCGTAGCAGAGCGGCATTTACACATAACCTCCCCCGGAACTTGACCCCTCCTCCGTGCGTGAAAAACGCCTATTTCAAATGAGCTCGGGCCCAGAGAAGGTGGCAGCATTTATTTGTCCGTTAAACCAATAAATGAATAATTTGAAATGAAATCTGAAAACAAATCTTTAAAAAAATCCTCTCAAAACTATCATAAAACAGTGTCTCAGTCATCAGACAGTGAATTCATAACCATTTCATGTAGTAACTTTCTGTGAGGGAGCTTTTAGAGGTGGGCGTCTGGTTCCTATCACCACCACTGTAAACAGTTCTGGCACTGTAAGTTTATCTAGAACAGAGCGTTTCACTTTTTTGGTGCTAGCCATATAGAACAATTTTCAAAAAGGTTATACATAGAACCATATACAACACATTCTCTGTCAGTCTGAAGAACCATTTCTCCATTCAGAGAACATATTAAGCATGCAGATGATTCTATCTGGAAACCATAGTACTCAATAGAACCATTGTCTTTACTAAAGAACCCTTGAAGAACCATCTTGTTTTGGAGAACCATCTTGTTTTGAGTGTGGTGAAATAGTTCTCCAGATTGATAGAGAACGTGTTGTATGGTTCTATATGATGTTAAGCTTGTGACAATGGCAGAACCCTTTTTTGGTACTAGCTGTATAGATCCATTTTCAAAAAGGTTCTACACAGAACCATATACAATACATTCTTCATCAGTCTGAAGAAGCATTTCACCGTGCAGAGAACCAGTTAATCCTGCAAATGGTTCTATGTAGAACTCATTGCTCTAAACAGAACCGTTCTCTTTACTAAAGAATCTTTTGAAGAGTGTGTGCTGTTGTAATGCTCACTCGGGTCGCTGGGGGGCGCCACACCAAGCTCTGTATCCGCGCCGCTGCTGGTTCTGTGTCCGCGGGGGTTCTGCGGATGGCCGGCCGGTCTGCGTCGCTTTGTCCGCCCGTTGGGCGGCGCTGTGGGCGGCGTGGCGCAGGATGGCGGCGGCAGGCTGTGAGGCGCCGCGCTGCCTGGAGGACTCCTCGGACAGCGAGCCGGAGCACCGCGGCTCCCCGCACAAGCTCATCCGCAAAGTGTCCACCTCGGGGCAGATCCGCAGTAAGGTGGGTGCCGCGGGGCCGGGGGGGAGTGGGAGAGCGGGGCAGCCTAGCCGGGGAGCGGGGCTCGGAGCCGGGGGAGAGGGGTCTGGCTCTCCAGCCCAGCGCTGCAGGCCTCACCGCAGCCTCGGTGTTTCCTGAGCGCTGCGGGCGCCAGAGGCGCACTTACGCGCGGTCACGCTGAGAGAGGCAGCTGCTTTCAGATAACGGTTCAGCGGAGAGAGCATCAGCTCAGCAGCGCTGCGGCTCGTACATTCACACCGCACTGAATTAGTGACGCTTTAAAAAGTGCTAATTTGAACGTTTTAATTAATAATAATATTATTAATGGTGTTTTAAATGCAGAATGAAGCTCAGACAGCAGTTCAGCGGAGGAGGCGCAGAGTATTACACTGTTATTTACATTGAATGTGCAGTAACTGGCAACGCTTAGAGCTAAAAAAAGCACAAATAAAATATGAAAAATTAATATAATTTTGTGTTTTCTGCAGCTAATAGCAATTTTAGGTCCCTGCAGCGTAGTTGCTTTTTTGGATATATTCATATTTTTGGTGTTTTTTACATTGAAACATTAGTTTAAAATAAAAATTTAATTTAAAATAAAAATTTAATTTAACTTAATGTGGAGAGTTAATGTCGTTTATGAAGCATATTAATTTCCCACACGTGTGATTTCAGTCTTTAAATGCTTTTAAAGTTACAAAATTTCTTTTTTTTTTTTTTACTGAAACTGTTTTAATATGTTCGATCAAAACACACCTTTTGTTGCTGATCAGTCTATTAATAAAAAACGAATCAGAAACCCTGTTTTTATTTGTGTTTACTGTGACGTGGGCAGATCAACAGATTTTTCAAAGCTAACTGAACCTCCTTTTGATGTAAACATAAGAGGAAATGGGCAAAAGTGTGGGCAGCTAAGCAAGGAGTCTCACAGAGAAACAAAATAAAAGTCATTTTCTTTATATTCACAATTTCTGCATGTTCTTAATAATGATAATTATTAATTATTAATCTTAATGTAAATAATATTACATTCAGATATATTTGACTCTGCCAAAGCGAATGCAGTTTACCATTTCTATCCAAATCAGTGAAAACACAAAGTCGAGTTGAAGAAAGTTGTTCTAGATGGAAACATGAACACTCAAAGAGACGTTTGTGTGATTAAATGGTTCTCTGCATGGTGAAACGGTTCTTCAGATTGACGGAGAATGTGTTGTAAATGGTTCCTTATAGCACCAAAAAGGGTTCTGCTATAGTTACAAGGTCAGTCTTTTTGGATTGATCGGTGGCGTCAATCTGAGGAACGCTTTAATCATGCAGATCGTTCCCTGGTTTAATTTAGAAGCACCGTCTTTACTGAAGAACCCCTGAAGAACCGTCTTCTTAAGTGTGAGGGAAGTGTGTGTCTGACGTCAGCGTGTGGTCAGTTCGCCGGGCAGCACCTTCTGTTAGGATGGAGAAAAATGATTATCCTCTCTCTCTCTCTCTCTCTCTCTCTCTCTCTCTCTCTCTCTCTCTCTCTCTCTCTCGCTGTCTCTCTGTCTCTCTCTCTCTCTGTACTCTCTCTCTCTGTACTCTCTCTCGCTGTCTCTCTGTACTCTCTCTCTCTGTCTCTGTCTCTCTGTACTCTCTCTCTCTCTCTCTGTCTCTGTCTCTCTCTCTCTCTCTCTCTCTCTCTCTCTCTCTCTCTGTACTCTCTCTCTCTCTCTGTTCTCTCTCTCTCTCTCTCTGTACTCTCTCTCTGTTCTCTCTCTCTGTCTGTACTCTCTCTCTGTTCTCTCTCTCTCTCTTTGTCTCTCTCTCTCTCTCTGTCTCTGTCTCTGTACTCTCTCTCTGTCTCTCTCTCTCTGTTCTCTCTCTCTCTCTCTCTCTCTTTCTCTGTTCTCTCCCTCCCTCTTTCTCTCTCTCTCTCTCTCTCTCTCTCTCTCTCTCTCTCTCTCTCTCTCTCTCGCTGTACTCTCTCTCTGTACTCACTTGCTGTACTCTCTCTCTCTCTCTCTCTGTGTACTCAGTTCAGTTCAGTTCAAGGTTCAGTTCTCTTTTCTTGTTCCTTTTTGACGATGCTTTGGCAATACTGTAGCTGAATATGGTCATACCAATAAAGCTTATTGAACTGAACTCTGTACTCTCTCTCTCTCTCTCTCTCTCTCTCTCTCTCTCTCTCTCTCTCTCTCTCTCTCTCTCTGTGCTCATTCTCTCTCTGTCTCTCTGTACTCTCTCTCTCCGTACTTACTCTCTCTCTTTCACTGTACTCATTCTCACTCTCTCTCTCTGTACTCTCTCTCTGTTCTCTTCCTCTCTCTCTCTCTCTCTCTCTCTGTACTCTCTCTCTGTTCTCTCCCTCTCTCTCTCTTCTCTCTCTCTCTCGCTGTACTCTCTCTCTCTCTTGCTGTACTCACTCTCTCTCTCTGTACTCTCTCTCTCTCTCTCTCTCTCTCTCTCTCTCTCTCTCTATTGCTCTGAAAGTCTGAACCTTCCAAGAAAGTGTTTTCACACTGCAGATGATCCGAACCGCGGAAGGTTCCGTTTGATGCGGGCCGAGACCACCTCTTTTGGTCAGACCATATTTTGGTATTTCCGTCCGAGGCTCCTTTCACACCTGCTATTTTAGTTTGGACCAAACTGAAAAGTCCAAAGGTCCAGACCAAACAAGGTAGATGTGAAAGCACCTGGAATGGTAGAGTAAGTTTTTTGTTGTACTTTTAAATTTAATTTTAATTTAATTTTTATTAAAAGAAGACACAGACGAAGAAGAAACTGATCCGCTGAGTATAAACAGCGGCAAAGCTACTGTTTTTCTTTAAGCCAGTGCGACTCAGACATTCTGATAAAATACCGTTTATAGTTAAAATAGCTAAAATAATACGTTATGGTGCAAATCAGATGTTCTGATGAAATAAATAAATTAATATTAATAATAATTAAAGTAATAAGTTAATAGTTAGAACAATAAGTTAGGCTGAAGCTCTGCTGCTGGCTGCATTCTGCTTTTTACGATTTAATTAATAATGTTTTAATAATAACGATAGTAGCAACAATAATAGTACTAGTAATAACAATAATAGTTGTTATTTTTTGTGTATTATTGTGATTATTATATTTTTTTTGCTTTTGTTGATATCGTGATATCATTATGGTCCGAGCAGTAGAAAATACAGTGATATGACCCGTGTGCCGACCCCTGATACACACTTGTTATGACATGCACTGTAATGCACTGTAAATGTCCTGTCACTCATGAGTGCCCTTTTCTGATCAGTCAGATTTCAGTCCGTCTGAAGGTGAGATCAAAGCGTCTCTGCGGTCAGACTGAGTCTATTTTAAACCTATAACTGTGGACCGACCTTGCTTGCATCCGGCCTTCAGCCCCATCACAGCGTGAGAACCTCACTGTGAACCAGCAGCATCTCACAGCAGAGATAGAGTCCGCCTTAAATGACTCGCGACTCCACCTTAAATGTCTCATTACTCCATGTTAAATGACTCATGACTCCACCTTAAATGACTCTCAACTCCACCTTAAATGACTCATGACTCCAGCTTAAATGACTCATGACTCCACCTTAAATGACTTGTGAAATTTCACCCTGGGAAAAACAAATATAAACAAACCTGATTAAATTAGGAGTGCGATTGTTAATCCGGTCAGCTGCAAAAAGCTAATATTTTGATAATCAGTCGTTAATATAAATTAATCGATTAATCGCGTAAACGTGGCCTGTAAATGTTCTGACGGACTGAGGTTCTGTTCACTAAGAGCTGAATGATCACCATGGAAAAGCAGGCTTTGTTTAAGCTGCCCTTTACAAAGGGAATTAATTGACTGGCAATCGATTAATCGGCTTAAATGAGGCCTGAAAAGTGCTAAATTATGATGATAAGCAATAAATCACACAATAAATATGTACAACCACATTTACAAAAAAATTGGGACGCTGTGCAAAATGTAAATAAAAACTAAATGCAACGATGTGCAAATCATTTAAACCCTATATTTCATTGAAAACACATCAAAGACAACAAATCAAATGTTGAAATTTTATTGTTTTTTGAAAAATATTTGCCCGTTTTGAATTTGATGCCAACAACATGTTCCAAAAAAGTTGGGACAGGGGCAAAAAAAAGGCCGGTAAAGTTGTGTAATGCTAAAAAAAAACACGGGGTGCAAAATCTCACAATTAATTAGGTTAATTAACAACAGGTCAGTAACGTGATTGGGTATAAAAGAGCATCTCAGAGAGGCTGAGTCTTTCAGAAGTAAAGGTGAGGAGGGGTTCCCCACTCTGTGAAAGACTGCACGATCAAATAGTGCAACAATTCAAGAAAAACGTTTCTCAACATAAAATAGCAAAGAACTTTTGTTTTTCACCATCTACAGTTCATAATAACAAAAAGATTCAGAGAATCTGGAGAAATCTCTGTATGTAAGGTACAAGGCTGAAAATCAGTATTTGCTGACCGTGATCTTTGGGCCCTCAGGCGGCACTGCATTAAAAACAGACATGATTCTGTAGTGGAAATCACTGCATGGGCTCAGAAACACTTCAGAAAACTACTGTCTGTGAAAACAGTTCATCACTGCATCCACAAATGCAAGATAAAACTCTAAAACGCAAAGTAGAAATCATATATAAACAGGATCCAGAAACGCTGCCACCTTCTCTGGGCCTGAGCTCATTTAAAATGGACTGAGGGAAGTGGAAAAGTGTCCTGCGGTCTGACGAATCAACATTTGAAATTTTTTTTGGAAATCATGGACACTGTGCCCTCTGGGCTAAAGACCACTCAGCTTGTTATCAGTGCACAGTTCAAAAGCCAGTATTCATGATGGTATAGGGGGCATTAGTGCACATGGCATAGGTGACGTGCACATCTGTGAAGGCACCGTTAATGCCTAATGATGTATACATGTTTTGGCTTCATATGCTGCCATCCAGACGACGTCTTTTTCAGGGAAGACCTTAAATATTTCAGCAAGACAATGACAAACCACATTCTGCATGTATTACAACAGCATTGCTCTGTAATAAAAGAGTCCAGGTGCTAAACTGACCTGCCTGCAGTCCAGACCTGTCACCACTGAAACATTTGGCGCATTATGAAATGAAAAAAATGACAAATGAGCCCCTGAACTGAGGAGCAGCTGAACTCCTGTATCAAACAAGAATCGAGCCTCAGATGGGGAGCCTGCACTCTGCTCAGCGACTCGACTCGGACTGGTATGAGGCACTCTGCTCAGTGTGTTAGTCGCTCAGAGCTGATGCTCTGAACCACACAGGGCACAAGTAGGGCAGGTCAGTCTTCCTGTGTGAAGTCAGTGGCGGTGAAGATGTGCCTGTGAGTAAAACCACACGCTCGTCCTCCGAGACGCTCTCTCTCACTCTGAGAAGCCTCACTGCCTCTTACTGTCAGCGGAAACCATCACGAGAAGGTCAGTGGGAGAGAGCGAGATGAGCTTCACGAGCTTAGAGAGTCGGAAGAGCCTCACATGGAGACGCACAGCGAGCAGGTCTGGAGAAACGTGCATATGTTTTAGCGGAATAGTTCTATTTTGTGTGTATATAGTATATATTTACCTAAACTTACATACGTAATAATAATAATAAATACCTAATATAAATTTTGCACAAAGGTAACGTTGTTACTTAACGTATTTAGGTCATTTTCTAAGTGAAAGTAAGTTTAGCATTTCCTATATAGGAAACGAACAAACCATTTGTGGCAATTTTTGCTAATCATATTGCTAAATTTCTGCTTATTTGCCGAGTTTAACATTTCTATTATATTCTACAGCATAAAACTTTAAAAAGTTGCTTTAGAAACACTTGTGTGTATACATATATGTGTACATATGTATGTATATATATATTTGTATGTGTATATATATATATATATATACACATATACATGTATAAATGTTGTCGGAAGAAAACCTCCTATCTCCAAAATACTAACTTTACAGGAGAAGAAAAAAGGCTACTTCACTTTTAATGTAAGTCAATGGAACCAGAATTTTTTCAAAGTAATTTTGGGTCGTTTCTTTTGGTCCATTCATCATGAAATTTAAACACAGTGTAAAGGTCAACAGGCATTTTCAGATTATTTCAAAAACTGAAAAACAAAAATAGAGATACAAGGTTTTGTTCCGACAGCAGCAAAATATATATATATATAAATTTACACACACACACAAAACAGGTAGTTCCAAGATATTAAAGCCGTTGTGCTGTTCATTATGTAATATTTCGCCGTGATGTTGCTTTGTAGCCACAGCCGACTGTTACCAGACATCTCCTGGTTTGGTATTTGTTTATTGTGATTATTATTAGAAAATAAATGCAGTTGCTTTTGAATATTCACGCATTATGTCATATAGTTTGTTGGCACTGCATAAACAGTGAGCTGGTCCACAACATCTGACGCCGTATGTGAGAGACAGAAACGTGCTAGTGTGTTTTTCACACTTCAGATCGTCGCTGCTGCGCAAAAACCTTGTATGTCATTTTTTACTTTAATTTTTAGTTTGAAAGCTCCTGTTACCTTTTACACTGAGTTTAAATGACATGCTTAAACCATGATGAACAGACCAGAGATGCTCCAACACCACTTAGAATAAAGCCTGTTTACTCTGACCTTCGTTACAAGTTAAGGAAGTTTTTTCTTCTTCTGTAAAGTTACTCTTTGTTCCTAAATCAACAATATATATTTTAAGGAATGCAGCCATTTTTATAGCTACTTATAAAATGTAAATTTTACTTATTGAGATAACTATAAGAAATAATACATATTAAAATAAAATATAATTTTTAATTTTTTTTTTATTTAATTTTAATAAAATAAAAAATATTTGCTGGCCACCCCGTCACGCAAAATCTACAGTACAAATCAAGTGTTCTTCTTTCTTTCTTTCTTATTATTATTATTATTTTTTTTTGCAATATTGTAGTTCTGCATTGAGGCTATTTTCATGCATTAACTGCTGAAAACCTGATGTTAGATGGTCTAACCGTGGTAAGAGGCAGCATGGCAGCCAGTTTAGCATGAAATATTCCAGCATTGGTGTAATGGGGCAATTTGGCACACAAACAGGTGCGATTAATGAGGTCAGGTCTGTTTTTTTGGGTAAGCGGATCGTGTAATCAAAACTACGGAGGACAAAAAGTGTAATGTGACAAAATGTCAAATCAACACATTCATTTAGTGAAGATCTCGTGACTGAATTTTAACCATTTTTTCTCTTCAAATTTGTTTACAAATATTGTTCAAACATCCTGATGGAAATACATCAAATTACACATTAAACCAGGGGTCAGCAACAGAGCTACATGCGGCTCTTTTACTACCCTGTTGTGGCTCCACAGCAGAATTAGGTTTGTAGGTAAAAATAAAATAATCCTCCTTTACAGTAAAATAAAGCTCTGCTGATCGTTCAACACAGTTTAACAATAAATGGTCTTAAACTCTGGAGTTAATGTAGAACTGCTAAATCACCCTTTAACCCTGAAGATCAGCACAGACTGCTGGTCACCATAGCAACACTGACAACAGTCTCACCTAGCTAGTAGTATTTAAGACAAACATCGATAATTTGGAGATGAATGGACTTTTTTGCGTTTATAATCACTCCAGCTGGTTTCCTGATACGTTTAAACTGACAAACACTAAAACATCACGAAGCTGAATTCAGCTTCTCGTTTGAATCGTCCCATTCCACCTTAAATGGTGCCCGAGGATTGTAACTACTGCACCATTTATGGTGGAACGGGAAAATTTGAATAAGAAGCTGGTGAATGAGAAGCGACTTCAGCCTCGTAAAAAACCAAACAATGAGACGTTTTACAAGAAACTGTTCTACTTTTGTGGAAAAGTTTCCTGCTGGAGATGCGAGAAAAGCGGCTATAGCTGTTATTAAAGCAGAGCAAAGAAAGTCTGTGTTTCCCTTTATATTGTATTTTTAGTCTGTACTAGAACATTAACACATACTGATACACATTTACAGCCAAGATGGTACAGTGGACATAAAATGTTGAGGCTCCCAAAGTGGTTTGATTTTTGTTGAAAGGACAACGTGACTCTTCTTAACATTTGGGTTGACCACAGCTTTAGGCTTTTAACATGACCAGACATTCGAACTAACAAGGTAGAAAAGATCCGCTGTGACTTTAATGTACAAAACACCTTTGAATGGAATCAGTAACGAATGACCAGTGCTGGGCGGTGTTGTCGGCGTATTATCGCTTCAAATTTCGTACGCGGGTTTATTACGTAACTGCACTGCAGTCCAGAGGATCTTCTACTCAGTGCTGCTCAGCTGATGTAGCTCCTGATTCAGAGCGGAGGGTGAGGTTTGGAGCCCTGCTGTGGAAGATCTAACGCCTCATAAAGAGCCCTCTGTTTCAGCACTGAGGGTGATGATGGTGGTGATGATGATGTTATATAACTAGAACAAACTTCATCGGAGTGACCTGTGTGTGCGCAGACGGTTCTGAAGGAGGGGCAGCTGATGAAGCAGACCAACTCCTTCCAGCGCTGGAAGAGACGATACTTCAAGCTCCGCGGGAGAACGCTGTACTACGCTCAGACGGCCAAGGTCAGTGAGTCCCTCTTTACCTTCGTTACAGTGTCCGTTCTTTTCAGGAGCCTCACTTTCAGTTCCTCAAAGAATCTGCAGACACACCTCCAAAGTTCAGTCTTAGAAGCTGGTTGATCGTTTTTTGAAGTAATCAAACACATTCAGTGGTGTTGAGGTCTGGACTCTGGGGTGGTCAGTCCATCGTTCAGCTTCTTTGTTTGGTGTGTCCGTCTCCTTTTCTCAGTGAGGTTCTTCTTGAACAGCTACACATCCTTTCAGACCCACAGCGCTGAGTCGTCTTCTCACAGTGGAAGGATGGACAGAAACACCTGTGGATGTTTTCAGATCTGAAGCAGCTTGATTTTCTCCTCTCTCTCAGAGATGAAAGCTTTCAGTGCTGTTTATCTGATATTATCTGGGGGCAGTTTTGGGGTCTACCAGGGTCTTCCACGTTGTTGTTAGGAGACACATTTTCTCTGAAGCTGGTAGTTGATTGGTTCTTAGGAGTATCTAATTAATAGTATAGTATGAATAATTCTTATTAATAAATCTGATTTGTAGCACTTTCAGACATGGTGACAGTACAGCCAGGACCACAGGAGGTGATTGAACATGTTTATTGGTTGGTGTTGCGGTGATCAATAGAGTTGATTGGTTGATGTTGCTGTGATTGATCAACAACAACCATTCAACATGATCAGTCATCCAAACAGGAAGTGATTAGGATGATTGATCATGTTAATTAGTTGTTGTTGAGGTGATTCATCATCTTGATTGTTGTTGAAGTGATGGGGTTGATTGGTTGGTGTTGAGGTGATTGATTGGGTTGGTTGCTTGGTGTTAAAATGATTGATCAGGTTGATTGGTTGGGTTTGAGGTGATTGGGTTGATTGGTCTTGAGGAGATTGATTGGGTTGATAGGTGTTGAAGTGATTTGATCAGGTTGATTGGTTGGGTATGAGGTGATCGGGTTGATTGGTTGGTGTTGAGGTGATTGATTGGGTTGGTTGGTTGGTTGTGTGGTGATTGATCGGGTTGATTGGTTGGTGTGGCGATTCGTCGGGTTGATTGATCGGGGTGTTGTGGTGATTGATCAGGTTGATTGGTTGGGTTTGAGGTGATCGGATTGATTGGTTCGTGTTGAAGTAACTGTTGATTGGTTGATGTTGAGGTGGCTAAATGTGTTAATTGGTTATTGATTCTGTTGTTTCTGTGCTACTTGCAGTCGATCATCTTTGACGAAGTGGATCTGACGGACGCCAGTGTAGCCGAGTCCAGCACCAAGAACGTCAACAACAGCTTCACCGTGAGTGACGCACACACGGTTACATCATTACCATTAAAATCTTCTAATTAGAAATTAATTTTATATTAAATCTTTGTTGTACTCTAGCTTAAAGATCGTTAATAGTTTGGTGAAAATCAGATTTACTCATTTTTCTCCCAGTGTAGTCGATCAGTGAGGAGGTGTTCGGTGCCTGAAGTTTGCTTCTGTAGTTTTAGCACTGGAGCTATGAGGCTAATGTAGCTAACATGTAATGGAAGCTTATAACCCACCAATTAGCATGGTGCTAACTGCACACCTGAATAATACTCAAGAACGTGTGGAGGTGTTCAGTATCTCTACTAGACTTGATTGTGTGGTTTCTGATACTGTATGACTGTTTTTGATAAACATGGACTAAAGTACATTAGCAGAGCTGAACACAGTACCAGCCACCATGACGCATGAATTTTGTACAAGTTTTTGTGTAAAATTACCTTAAAACAGTAACAGCATGTTAATATACATATAAAAATCTCTTATTTTTTAAACAGTGTATTAAAAGTATAATTTTAGTTGTACTGTGTACGTTTTAGTTCAGTAACATTTATATGTATTAGACTATAATGCAGTAACTATATCACTGCACTTGGGTGAAATATATGTGACCAAACTAAAGTATACACAAAAATATGTGTATAATTTCATCAAACTAAAATATATACATAATGTCATCAAACTAAGATATATACTGAAGAACGTAAAGCTGCCTAAAACTAAAATCCATACTAAAGTAGGTAACTAAACTAAAATATGTATGACCAAACAAAAATGCATGCTAAAATGCATTCTCAAAAACTTTTACAGGGTTACAGTATTTTTACAAGTCAGAGTTAAATATAAATAGTAGCTCTGAAGCAGTGAGGAATTCAGAGTTACAAACTTTAAAACTGCTATTTATGTATTTTGCAGTGTCAGCGTTTATTTGGGCAGAGAAAGTTGAGATGTGTTCAGTGTTTCAGTCTGATTTCTAAACTACACAGTGCGTAGAGGCCTGTTAGTGATTACAGCGTCCTGAACACACACACACACACTCACACACACACAGACAGACAGCTGAAGCCCACTCTCTTTCTTTTCTGAGTTTTTTTTTTGTGTTTTATTCAGTCTGAAAGTTTCAGTTTCCTCTGATCTGATTCACACACTGTGTGTGTGTGTGTGTGTGTGTTTTTGAAGTTTATTTATAGTTGACATTTGGACTGATTTAGTTTTAATAGCAGGGTGGAGGTTTTGCTTGTGTATGTGTGTATCCGGTCTCTGCGGTGGCTGTGTGTGAGTGTGAGTATGTGTGTGTGTCATTGCTAAAAAAAGAGTTCAATGTGCTGTTTCTTTTATAGAATTCTTTTTTTTTTTGTTCCAGAAAAACAAAGGAATAATAAGTAGTTTTTTTTTTCAGCAACTATATTTGGTAATACATAAAGTTATCAAACTAAACTGTATACTGAAATACAAGTAAACAAACTAAACTGTATACTAAAATTCATAGTTATCAAACTAAACTATATACTAAAGTACAAGTAACCAAACTAAATTATGTACTAAAATACAAGTAACCAATTTAAACTATATACTAAAATACATAAAGTTACCAAACTAAATGATATACTAGAATACATAAAGTTGCCAGACTAAACTGTATTCTAAAATACATAGTTACCAAACTAAACTATATACTAAAATACATAAAGCTACCAAATTAAACTATATACTAAAATACAAAGTTACCAAACTAAACTATATACTAAAATAATAGTTACCAATTTAAACTATATACTAAAATACATAAAGTTACCAAACTGAATGATATACTAGAATACATAAAGTTGCCAATCTATACTATATTCTAAAATACATAGTTACTAAACTATATACTAAAATACATAAAGCTACCAAACTCTAAACTATATACTAAAATACATAAAGTTACCAAACTAAACTATATACTAAAATACTTAGTTACCAAACTGAACTATATATTAAAATATGTAAAATTACCAACCTAAACTATATACTAAAATACATAGTTACCAAATTAAACTATATAATAAAATACATAGTTACCAGACTAAACTATATGTTAAAATTCATGAAGTTACCAAACTAAACTGTATACTAAAATTCATTAAGTTACCAAACTAAACTATTTACTAAAATTCATAGTTACCAAACTAAACTATATACTAAAATACATAGTTACCAAACTATATACTAAAATACATAAAATTACTAAACTATATACTAAAATAAGTTACCAAACTAAACTATATACAAACATACAGTTACTAAACTAAACTATATGCTAAAATAATAAAGTTACCAAATTAAACTATATACTGAAATACATTAAGTTACCAAACTAAACTATTTACTAAAATGCATAGTTACCAAACTAAACTGTATACTAAAATTAACGAAGTTTCCAAACTAAACTATATACTAAAATACAAAGTTACCAAACTAAACTATATACTAAAATAATAAAGTTACCAAATTAAACTATATACTAAAATACAAAGTTACCAAACTAAATGATATACTAGAATACATAAAGTTGCCAGACTAAACTGTATTCTAAAATACATAGTTACCAAACTAAACTATATACTAAAATAATAAAGTTACCAAATTAAACTATATACTAAAATACAAAGTTACCAAACTAAACTATATACTAAAATAATAGTTACCAAACTGAACTATATATTAATATATGTAAAATTACCAACCTAAACTATATTCTAAAATACATAGTTACCAAATTAAACTATATAATAAAATACATAGTTACCAGACTAAACTATATGTTAAAATTCATGAAGTTTCCAAACTAAACTATTTACTAAAATTCATAGTTACCAAACTAAACTATATACTAAAATACGTAGTTACCAAACTATATACTAAAATACATAAAATTACTAAACTAAACTATATACTAAAATAATAAAGTTACCAAATTAAACTATATACTGAAATACATTAAGTTACCAAACTAAACTATTTACTAAAATGCATAGTTGCCAAACTAAACTGTATACTAAAATTAATGAAGTTTCCAAACTAAACTATATACTAAAATACATAGTTACCAATCTAAACTTCATACTAAAGCACATGAAGTTACTAACTATATATTAAAATGTTAGTATTGTTGCTTTGTGGACAGATAAAACGTCATTTCTGCTGTTTTTGTTTTTTTGATGTTGACAGTTGTGCTGATAGAAAATAAGTGGGCGTAGCATTAAGACGTATTTACACCAGCACTGTCGTCACTACAGCAACAGTATAGAGATTAAACAGCCGATAGGTCTTCTGTTCAGCTTTACTGATATTAGAATTTTATTTGTTGTTATGACAACCCTAAATAACTCTGACATAAGGCTGAAATCCTCTCTCTCTCTCTCTCTCTCTCTCAGTCTGTCTCTCTGTCTCTGTCTCTCTCTCTCTCTCTCTCTCGTTCTGCAGGGGGAGGGGTCTCTCTTCCCCTTTTACAGGAAGTTGATTTGCGTCACTTTGCTGGAAAAAGGAGGAGAGAGAGAAGGAAAGGAAAAGAAGGAGAGAGAGAGAGAGACAGAGAGCTAGAGAGAGAGAAGCCGGTGTAATAGGACTCTGAGAGAGAGAAACAGAAAAGGAGAGACAGAAAGAGAAGAGAAAAGCAGAGTGAGAGAGGAAAGAGTAGAGAGAGAGAGTTATTTAGAGGAACAGCAGTGAGCTGGACTGAGTGGACGACTTCAGCTAAAAGTAAGAGAAAAATGAGAAGAATGTGAGTGTGTGTTTGTGTGAGTGAGTGTGTGTGTTTGTGTGAGTGTGTGTGTGTGTGTGTGTGTGTTTAAATCTGACCAAACTGTTAAACCTCTTTACATAACCATCACTTTAACCCTTAAACTGACTTTTTCAATAACTTGTGTGAATTATTCAGTATCTACTGTAACTTATTCAGTATCTACTGTAACTTATTCAGTATCTACTGTAACTTATTTAGTATCTACTGTAACTTATTCAGTATCTACTATGAATTATTCAGTATCTACTATAACTTATACAGCATCTACTGTAACTAATTCAGTAGCTACTATGAATTATTCAAAGTCTACTATGAATTATTCAGTATCTACTGTAAATATTCAGCATCTACTAAGAATTATTTAGTATCCACGCTTAATTATTCGGTGTCTGCTATGAATTGTTCAGTATTTACTCTGAATTATTCAGTATTTAGTATGAATTCATAAATATTGTTTTTCACTAACTACTAAATAATTCAGTACTAGTAATTACTAACTAGTGTATACTGTTGGGGGTCTTCTATGAGTTATTCTTTGCTGTAGATTATTTAGATTTTGCTCTGACGCTAAACTGTAAACTGTGTTATTCTCACGTTATTTTAAGTATATTTTTACTGCTCGTTAGCTACATTAGCCTCGTAGCTCCAGTGGGCTGTGTGTGGAGTAAGTGGGGAAGTTTGAGTTTATTAGACTTTTCACTGAACTGAGTCTTTAAGGGATGAACAGCCGCTTAGTAACGGACTGGGTTAAACACGCTCAGGCTGTGTTGGAGCCTCTGAAGCCGGAACCCCCTCAGCGGGACTCGATATGATCAGCGTCGGACAGGAAGCCGTGCTGGAGGCGTTTGACGGTTTATAAACAGCGTGATGTTCATGTGATTACAGACAGAACTCTGAGCTTTAATTAGCTCCGATAGTGACTCTGTTCCTCTGTGGAAACAGTGAGAGTGACTCTGACACAAGTGTCACTCTTATTACTGTTCACAGCCAAATCACCACTGCAGTGGAAAAAACACTGGCTAACTGTAAATGATGATGATTTTAATAACATGCACAAATAAAAGCTGCAGTGTTTACCGCAGCGCTGATGAATTCAAAATAAAATAAGAAACGATGATGTAATATTAAGCTGTATTAATGGTGCTGTAACAGCTCGGCTCAGCCTCGGTGCTCCACAGGAGTTTTACAGGAAGGTTCTGTGATTTGCATGGTGGAGTCAGCAGAGCTGCCCGGTTTAGGGGGCAGTTAACTGATAGAAACGAATAAACACATGTCCACAGATGTAAAATGTAAATGTAAGGATGTCTAAAGAAATAAATTGTGAAATAAATTTAAAGATCCAAAGAAAGAAAACATAAATAAAGAGGTCCAAAGAATTAAAATGTGAATAGAAATGTCTGCAGGACTAAATCATGAATAAAAAGCATCATAAGGAATAAAATACGAGTATATAGAATAAAACTGTCCAAACTGTTTAGAGTAAACTTAACTGACTGCCTGAGTTCCTGGAATTTGGTACTGAGAAGTCTGTGTGTGTGTGTGTGTGTGTGTGTGTGTGTGTGTGTGTGTGTGAGTGTGTTTGTGTGTGTGTGTGTGTGTGTCTAAGTCAAATTATTATAATCATTATTATTATATACACATATATCATTTCATATCCTTACAAATATACAGTTGTGTGTAGAAGTTTGTGAGATGTAATCAGAGTGATTCAGAGTGGTTTGGTGTGAAATGGTTCAGATGTCTTTACAGTGGTGGTGATAGGAACCAGGGGTCGCCATGACTACAACACAAATATAGACATTTTATTTACTATCCAGAACCACCAGTGAACCTACACGAGTCTTCTGAGTTTATATGGAGTGTTGATGATGGAAAATAGTGGAAAATCTGAAATGATAAGTTTTCTTTGGGGACTATTTTGCCTCACAGCGCCCTGCATGTATCCCTCCACCATGAATGGAGTTTAAGTTCTCTAAACTATCCTAAAACAGTGTCTCAGTCATCAGGCAGTGAATTCGTAACCATTTCATGTAGTAACTTTCTGTGAGGGAGCTTTTAGAGGTGGACGTCTGGTTCCTATCACCACCACTGTGAACAGTTCTGACTCAGTAAGTTTCTCTAGACCGGAGCGTTTCGCACCAAACCACTCTGAACCGCTCTGATTACATCTTAACCACTTAATTATGCAGCAATGTTGAATTGGTGAAGTTCCCCTTTAACACATCCTCTACACAGAACACACTTCTGCATTTTGATAGACAGTTATTTAACATATTGAGGGAAAGATCATGTTTTTTTTCCCGGCCGTAATTAAGTGTGTTGTCTGTAGGGGGTGTGTTAACTTATTTACACTTGTTTTCACATGCAGTTTGATCGGGGGTGCTCAAACCTTTGCACACGATTGTGTATGTGTAATACATATACAGCGCACTCATACGGAATAGGTTTCAAAGGTTCTTTATTTAAGACAGTAGTTCTATAAGTTCCTAGTACCTAGGGGTCATATGATGTCACGTCCTGACAAAGTTTAAAAACAACCAGCTGTGTGTGTGTGTGTGTGTGTGTGTTTGTGTGTGCGTGCATGTGTGTGTTCTTGTTGTGCTATACTTGTGAGGACCCCATGTCCTCACTAGGATAGGACTATATGAATTTTTGCTCAAGCGAGGACATTTTGCTGGTCTTCAGTTGTGTTGTTTTCACTACAATTACTGTTTTTATTTGAAAACCAAAAGAGCAGAAAAATTGCGTTTGGATACTGAGGTTAAGGTTAGGTTTAGGTTTAGGTGTAGTATTCTTTAGCTACAGTAACACAAAAATCAATAGAAACCTTTGGACGTCCTCATATGTATAGCAAGACAAACGTGTGTGTGTTTGAGAGTGTGTGTGTCTGTGTGTGTCTGTGTGTGTGTGTGTGTCTGTGTGTGTTTGAGTGTGTGTGTGTGTCTGTGTGTGTTTGAGTGTGTGTGTGTGTGTGAGTGTGTGTGTGTGTGTGTGTGTGTGTGTGTGTGTGTGTGTTTGAGTGTGTGTGTGTGTGTGTGTGTGTGTGTGTGTTCTGGCTGAGGAAAGCGTGAGTTATTTTTATCCGTGTGGGAACAGAGGAGCTTTTGTAAGCAGCTGAGGAAGAGGATGCTGACGTCTACCCCATGATACACACACACACACACACACACACACACACACACACACACACACACACACACACAGACACACAGCGTTTGGACTAGTGAGCTTCAAACCCAAACAGTCCGGCATATAAAAGACCTCTTGATAGCCGCAGTAAAAAGGAAAGAAAAACTTTTTTTTTTAATATTATATTTTATGCAGAATAACTTTTAAACTATTTGAGCCAGATTAATAATTCTCTCGTACAGGCGTCCCACAATGCTCTGCTACAAATGAAGGCGAAAGATTTGTTTCCAGCACCTGCCGATTATGACCTGCTGAGCCGGACGCTGAGCGAGTGACCGTGTGCCCCGTACGTGGGGCTGACTGTAACAGAGTGGGGGCTCAAGGCGTAACAGTCGCTAGAGAAGTGTGGCAAAGAAACATTCAGTGTCGTTTGAACCCAACCAGCTTTCCAACCTACGTACAGTCGTGTGCAAAAGTTTGTGCACCCCTGGTCAAATTCCCAGTCGCGCCCAGCTGGATCCCCCTCCCTCACCCCTCCCTTTCCAAGCGTGTAGCAGAACCTACGGTGGCCGTCGCCTACTTCGTTTCGCTCCTTCATGTTTCCTCTTCTTAGACGGTGAGGATTCACCCTCTCTCATTTCTTCTTGTGCTAGATTATAAGTCTGATCCTCCATTTGTCCAGATTTGGGTTCTCAAACTTCTCACAGCACAAAACGGTCAGCCAGCCCCGGCAGCTCCACTGATTCTTCTTCGTTCTACGTCTTCCAGCCGAAGCTACAGCGCCACCAAATTCAAGCTGCCGCTTCAGTGTAAAGTCACAAAAGGCGCCCTCTAGAGCCGGGGTTCTCAACCTTTTCCACCTCGAAGCCTGCTTGGAAAATTTTAAATACAGCGTGTCCAGTTCTGCAACATGTGACGTCTAACGGTGAACATAAAGTGTCAACAGAATGGTAGACTCTTGACAAAGATGGTTCTTCGGTAAAGAAAATGGTTCTATATAGAACCATGAACACACAAAGAACCCTTTGCATGATTAAAGGTTTTTTTTGCGCAGTGAAAAGGTTCTTCAAACTGATGCAGAATGTGCTGTATATGATTCTATATAGAATATGATTCTGATGTCAAGCTTCACATAATAGAAGAAACCTTTTTAGTGCTGTAGAGAACCCTTTATAGAACCATCTACGACACATTCTTCATCAATCTGAGGAACCATTTCATGATGCAAAGAACCCTTTATATTATATATATAATATATATAATATATATATTATTATATTGAATGTTTCTACAAAACAGTTTCTCTTTGTAGTGTTGCGAGTGGAAACATTGGGAATATTTTGTTTTTAGAGTCAGTGGGCATTTTTGAAGGCCTCCTATTAATGTTGCTGACCGTTTGAAAACATTTTATATTTCTCTTTTATTGATTAAGTCAATCAAGCCATCACAGGCCTATTACAGATCCCTGGCACCCCATCGGTATTCCCCTGAGGACCACTAGAGGGTTTTTCAGAGCCTACTTGTGGTTGAGGAGCCCTGCTCTAGAGCCAGTGTTTGGTTTGTCCGCTCTGGGCTACTATAGAAACATGGCGGCGGTAGCCTCTGTTGAAAGAGGAGCTGCTCCCTATGTAGATATGAGGGGCTCATTCTAAGATAACAGAAAAAACCCAACGATTAATAGTTACAGCTGATCATACACGAATGACAACATGGTTTTGTTACTGTATTCCTTTTCTGATTATAGCCCCCTAAATATTACCCTGCGTTCACTCTGGGTGCAACTTTTCGCCTCTTGTCGCCTAAATCGCTGATCGCTTGTCGCCTGTGGGTGTTTCTGAACATGGTTGCCATGGTTTCGGCACAAATCAGTAGGAACAGTTACCTAGGAACCAAAAACGGAGCGTACCGTTGCGCAGTGGCAGAGATAAAGTGCGTACTACGCTGCTCAGTGCTCAGTTCCTATTGGTAACCGCCACATCGCTTCACTCCTTATTTGCATAAAGTTAAACTCCACTCAACTTTGTGGCATCGTTGACTCCGCCCACTTTGCATCGCCAACATTCGCGCCGCCTCCTGTCGCCAGAAATCGCCAGCAAATATCTAGAAACTGTGCTGCTGTGGAGCTGCATTCTCTGGAGTGATGGGGCTCCACCAACACTGTTAGGGTGTGTTGGAGTGATTCAACATCAGTCACTGACCTCACTGACCCCACTGACCCCACTAATGCTCCAGTGTTAGTGTGAAGCCTTCCCAGAAGAGTAGAGGCTACTACCGCAGCACAGACCGTCTGAAAGCTGCTGTATGGATGAAATAATAATGTTTATTATTTATCATCTTTTCTCTCCGTGTGTAGATCATCACTCCCTGTCGGCGGCTGATCCTCTGTGCGGAGAACAGGAAGGAGATGGAGGAGTGGATGGCAGCGCTGAAGAGCGTTCAGAACAGAGAACACTTTGAGGTGAGACTGTGTAATATGCACAATCTGAAAAAAGAGGGTTCTTCAAGGGTTCTTTAGTGAAGCAAATGGCTCTTCAATGAACCATGAGCACTCAAAGAACCCTTTGCATGATTTAAAGATGCTTTGCATCTTGAAGTGGTTCTTCAGACTGATGGAGAACGTGTAGTAGAATCTTTTCAAAAACTGTCTGTAGCACATTGTCCATCAATCTGAAGAACGCTTTCAGGATACAAAGAACACTTTAATCATGCAGAGGGTTTTTTGAGTGTTCATGGTTCTATATAGAACCATTTCTTTACCAAAGGACCCTTGAAGAACCCCCTTTTTTAAGTGTGCAGGTTGGGTTTTAGTCAGGCTCTTTCAGCGGAATACCGTGGCTCAATAAATTGTTCAATAAATGGTTATTAAAATGGTTTACCTACAGCTTTCTGCAAATGATGTGATCATAACTGCTGCGAATAACGGATCATAAAATTTCACAAAACCGCTGTATTGCAGCACCGCATTGCTGGACGATTTGATACAAAAAAAATGATGTATTTAAAACTGGAAATGAGAGCTTTTACCGTAGTGTCCCGGTAGAGGACAGTGAGCTAGAACAGGTTGTAGAGAAACTAACTGTGTATTTAGACCAGTGCTGCTAATATCCAGAACCTGAGTTTTTTGTTCTGGCTCTGCTAGTCTGTGAGGTGCGCTGTGTTGAAGGTGTGTGATGTGTGTTGTGTTGTGTGTTCAGTCCACTCAGTACAGTATGGATCATTTCTCTGGGCTCCATAACTGGTACGCCTGCTCGCACGCCCGGCCCACCTACTGCAACGTCTGCAGAGAGGCTCTGAGTGGAGTCACGTCACACGGCCTGTCCTGCGAAGGTGAGTGTGTGTGCAAGTGTGACTTGAATGTGTGTGTGTGTGTGTGTGTGTATAACAGTGTGTGTTGTGTTACAGTGTGTAAGTTTAAGGCCCATAAACGTTGTGCAGTCAGAGCCACTAATAACTGCAAATGGACCACGCTGGCCTCCATCGGCAAAGACATCATCGAGGATGAGGAGGGGGTGAGTGGGAGTTTCACCAAACTATTACCAAACTTTTATCAAACTATCCTCAAACTTTCACCAAACTTTCATCAAACTATCCTCAAACTTTCACCAAATTTTCACCAAACTTTCATCAAATATTCAACAAACTATTACTGAACTATCACCAAATTATCCTGAAACTTTCACCAAACTTTCATCAAACTATCCTCAAACTTTCACCAAATTCTCACCAGACTATCATCAAACCCTCACCCAACTTTCACCCATCACCAAACTTATCATCAAACGTTTATCAAACTCATCACCAAACTGTCATCAAGTGTTCACAGAATTTTCACCAGACTGTATCATCAAACTATTACCAAACTATCACCAAACTTTCATCAAACTATCACCAAACTTTCATCAAACTTTCACCAAACTTTCACAAACTATCACCAAACTTTCATCAAACTTTCACCAAACTTTCACAAACTATCACCAAACTTTCACAAACTATCACCAAACTTTCATCAAACTTTTACCAGACTATCACTTAAAAATGTTAAAT